CATTGACATTTTAATAGAGGTGCAGATATATAGTGAGCCTGTGACATTACATCTAAGCTCTTCCTCTGATTTGTGGTCACTATATACCACTCGAAGCCCCTGGTCTCCTCTGGGGTTTGTGACAGGCTGTGGGCACATACATATTCTGGGTCAGTTCGGGGCCAGCTCAGCACATGACTTGGTATGCAGGCCTCTGCAACTCTTTTTGAAGGGTGGACAGGATAGTGTTCTGTACCAAGGCTTCTGTGGTGAACAACTAGAAGTGCAAAAAAACTCCTTGAAGTGCAAAAAAAAAACGTAGAGATCACCACTTACCAGGAGGCACTGGTGTGGATGCTATGGTTGTTGCTTTTAAGTGTGCGTTTGGTGAAGGATATCTTTAAGGAGCTGTATCTATATTATAGTTCCTGGATTCTTTGGGAAAACGTGGTTTGTAGAATATTCAGATCCCAGGCCAGCTAAGAGCCAACCTTGGGTGGAAGAGCAAAGCTCAGTCTCCACTGCTTCCTTGACCTTATGCTTGTGCTCAAACGGAGAGGCCTGAACTCGACTCTAGAGTTCTGGAACTATGGTGCCTCTCAGCTCAGTGTGAAGATGGGCACCTTGTTTCTAGGCAAGCTCTGTGCTGTGTGTATCAGAGGAAAAGGAGCATGATGTCAAACATCGTGACCAGTCACCGTCGTCGTATTTGACCTTTCCTGAGTCGGGGGCAGCACAAACTTATTGCATGATTGAATTTCAGACTAGCTTCCCCCAGGTATATCACAAAGGGGGGGGTCTGCCCTGTCCCTGGATGTCTGACATCCCAAACTGACATTCAATAAAAAAGCATCAGAATCACCCTTGGCACTGAACACAGGTGAGCAACAGGCTAGGCATGGCATTCCCCAGAACACCCCTAATGACAAAGCTCACGATATTCTCCCAGGCCTTACTTTTAAAACATGCAAAACACGTTTGAGCAGCAGACAAAGGAACCAAGTGTGTGTAAGTATATTAGGACTAATGCACGCTCAGTAATTGCAAGGCTTTTACCTGTACTGTCTCATTTAATCTTGTCAATTCTGTGAGGTGGGGGTTAGACCATTGCAGGCGAGGAAACAGGTTCAAGAATTTAAATACCTTGCTCAAGGTCACAGTGACACTCTTCTTCAGTGAGGACATCTTTCACTTTGAGAAACGAATACAAGGAACATGGACATTTAGGGGAAGAGTCCGACATGCTCTCTGGCTAGCCAGTGTTGTCCAAAGCTCTGCAGCATGTTTATAAGAATTATAAAAATAAAATAAAATAAAAAATTCCAGGCTACTTAAGTCAGGAGATGCTTGGGGTTAACCAGCCTCCTGCCTGCAGGCCACTTTCCTCTCCAGTGTGGTACGGTGGGTTATGGAGTGCCCTCAGGACAGGACACAGGGTTGTTTTGAGATCTCTTTTCTTTCTTAGAATGACTGTAGAAAGCTGGGGTAAGCCTTCAAGTGCCTGAAGTCAGATTGGAGAAAAAGTTGCATTTGTTCATACATGTGATGATCTCCCCCACTCCAGACTCACTCTCCAAGTTCCCATTTTTAAACCCGGTAGGGAGTTACATGGGAAATTGGAGCCTGGCATTGCAGAGGGCTGTGCACTTGACGCAGGGGCTCCAGAGCTTTGTATGGGGGACTGCAGTTTCTCCCTCCACTGTCAAACTCCTAGGCCCCTTAGGGGAGACTGAGCAGGGAACTTTCAGAGCTGGCAGGGGCCTCAGAGTCATCTGCAGGGCACACAGGGAGGTCTCCAGGCCACCCTGTGTGTCCAACAGCAAAACCCATTATCAATGCCAAAGTGCAGCGGGTATTGTTTTGGAAGCAAGCTGCATTGAGCAGACTTGTACATTTCTATGACTGTCTGATGTGAAAGATGGAAATGCAATTAAACCAAGGCCATTATCCACTGGTGACTCCTGAGAGCCTGGACAGAGAAGGGCACCTGGTATGTGCTCAGTACCTCTGCTGAATTAATGAATGACTTGTGGCCTTAGCAGATGTACACTACCAGAAATATTTACTAGTTTTGAGAAACTTGCCTAAGCATTAAGTTAAAGTTTACTTCCAAGTTCTCCTGGGTGTGCCAGGGGCACAGGGTGATGGCCTCAGGCACTGGGCTCCCAGAAAGAGACCTCAGCCCACCCAAGAGCAATGGGTTGTCTGGCCTCCATTGTGGCTCATTTGTAATGCTTTCTTCATTCCTCATAGGGGAACAGATAGGGGAACTGGCAATGTCATCTGAGAGGAGACGAAAAACTTTCGGCAGTTTTGGAAAGGGAGGCTTTCGCAGGGGAAGCAGCATGCCTTGTATTAGAGCAGCAGAGTTTATGCTGTGTAAACTGGCCCCCTCCACTAGGAAAAAAGCATTCTTCATTACGATTTTTAAAGTTTAACAATCTTCAAACAGGCCACACTCATCAGTAAAAACCGATTCAGCTTCCTTCTCAAACCAAACACTCCAAGTAGCTATTTCTGAGCAGATGCCACCCCATAGTATCATTTATGTGACATTAAAAAAATTCACTCAAATACCAACAGATTCAACTTTATAGCACCATTCCAAAATACTAAACTTTCTTTGCACCTTTATTTTTATCTTTTTTTTTTTTTTGGTACACATTTAAAGTATGGGCCCTGTAAGTTTCTGAAAAGCCTCATAGAAAAAAAAACAACAACTAATTTTTAGGACAAAGCAATAACTCAGTTTATAGGCAAGATGATCTCAAGCAGGCTGCAATTCTTCATGGGCTTCTGTGAGTCTTGATTCTGGGGTGAGAGTGGAGAAAGGATGCTAGAATCTTCCTGGAGGAGCCTAGAGACTGCGCTGCATGTTGGCCTGTGCCCACGAGCTGCTCAATGGTCGGACTCTGGGCACTGGCTACAACTCAAAGCATGACATTCATAGTCTATGATTTTACTCTTCTGATTGACTAGAGAATTGGGACATTAGATTACTCAGAGTTCATGAAATACACCTTTTATTCATACACTATGAGAGACAAATTAGAATCATATTGAATTCCATCTTACAAACCTCCATGTTTTAGGCTTGGAGCACTAAAATCTGTTTTTAGCAAGCAGCTGTATTTAAAGTAGAATTATAAATGGGTTTTTAATTCAACATATATTTGGCTGCATTGTTATGTAAGAAGACTGTTTGACTAAGTAATGTGGGAGTTGACAGATGAGACTGCTTGCAGGAAAAAATTCTTATTTTTTTTTCCTCGTGACTACAGAGTCATGTCTTACACTGATTCTGACTGCGTGCTCCTGTCTAACTCTCCCATATGTTACTGTGGGTAATGTGAACCAGGAAAGCAGATGTGTCAGGGACTGGGAGTGTGGAGTACACTGTGACTAGAAGAGGGGTGAGAGGTAGAGCCAGAAGAAGAAGGGGTCCACTAACAGGATGACTCTGTAATGGTTTCAGAGAAATTGATTGTTATACAATAATAGTCAATGACCCCTGGAGAAAAAGTTTAAATTAGAACTAATGAGTATTAAAGAGCTACTGTGCACCAGGTAGGAAGGACTATGAGAATAATAATATGCCCTGAAATAGAAATAATCACTTTGCACTATGTACACCACATACAATATAACATATTCTTTTTAACATTGCACAATATAAATATTATACACGGTGGAGTAAACTAAATGCAAAATAACTTTGAGGCACACAGAAGAAACATGGGATAGACTGAACTTTGATTAAAATTACGATGGACTAGTGAAAGGCAGAGTGTTACATTTCAGGCCAGTCAGCTTTGGAGTTCTCGCCTCCAGTGGGTTGGCGGCCACTTCCCATCTACATTGAAAATTATCATACCTCAATGTCAGAGTTAATTGCTTCAAAGAAAGACTAATTAGCTAAATAATTTGAGAAAATCGAAGTGTTGCTCCCCACTCTAGAGTAGGTAACCCTCGAAAGGTGCCTTCAGACCTCAGGGCTTTGTAATTTGAGGATGCGGCTGTATTTCCCCTATTTCTTGTAAATAACTCGTCACTATGAAGCCACTTTAAGGAAACTAGAACAGTATTCAAGAACACCCATCACAGTGCTTAACAAGATTTAATGTACATTTATTCTTAACATGTGGAACATATAAAGATTTTATACTGAATAAATGATATTCATTAAGCCAGAGGAAAAGGAGGAATTTACATCAAGTTTTTTTCTTTTTTTTTTTTTTAACTACATTATCTTGAAATACAAATGTGGATTCTCGTCACTGAAAAATCTTTGAAGTTGTGTTTCTTCCTTTTAGTTGTATTTTTTCTTTTGTCTGTACTGGTAACCATTTCTAAATCAATCCATATGCAACCATTTCCACACCTTGATTTATGAAGCAAATTGTGATCAGCTGCTCTCTCGAAACAGAGCATGGCTTTATACATACAGAAACTTGTACATTACCCTCTTTTTTTTTTTTTTTTTTTTTTTGTTTGTTTTTGTTTTTTGTGTTTTTTGTTTCTTTTTTATTTTTGGAGATATGGCCCTAATGAAAAAATATATAAAATAAAAATAAAAAATTATTTAAATCTACCATCACTTCGTAGTTACCACATCATGAAAAAGAAACTAAAAATCTAACCTTTACTCTAAATATAACCTTAAGCCTAACCTTCAGCTAGGTTTACTAGTCCTAAAAAACAAAAAAAAAAAAAAAGAAAAGAAAAAAAAGTGAGGGTATGTTTAATGTACAACTTCTATATACATCACAGCCCATAGGCAGTAAAAAAAAATATTTAAAAAATGATTAAAGGAATTGTGAAGAACTGTCATGTGGGGGGCCAAACGACAGACAGCAGACATGGCGGTAGTGGTGAGGAAGCAATTTTCATTGATCGCTATCAGGTATGTATTTTCAATTCTAACTTAAAAGACATTGTTTTTGCTCCTAGCCTAATGTAACCACCTTCCTGTGGAGAAACCAGTATCATTCATAGTTCTGACTACTGACTGACACACCTCCTTGAGCCCCTCTACCTATATCTCTAGAAGTTTCTATTGCACAGAGCTTTGGGTGATGGGATGCAACTTTTTTTTTTTTTTAACATTCTCTGAAGAATAAAATATATAGGAAAATAATAATTTTTCACCTTTTTGACTCAGTGTGGTGAAATTTTCCCATCTTAGCATCTTTTGCCAAACTTTTTTCTTTAAAGTCAATTTGCTTCCCCAAAAATGCAATACAACATGGAAAAAAGAACATTAAAGAGAGAATCTGTGAAAAACAAAATGTGACCTTTGAATGCACTAGACAGCAACTTTGGTTAAAAAAAAAAAAGAAATAAAAAACCCCAAAGGATGTACTTATACACACAGACAGCAAATATTAATTTTATAACTGTTCAAATTAATTATTTAATTCCCAATTGGTAAATAGTGAACGGGGCAGAGGAGCAAAGATTTTCTTTTCCTTCTTCCTACGCTGGATAAACAAGAACAGAAAACAGCCAGTTATATGTGACGCGCTAATCTTCACTCACACATGCTTGCCTTCTCACTATGTCATAACTGCCCAATCTGAAATAGTACATCACAGATGACAGATGCAACCAGAGAGTTCAGGACAGCTGATATCGAGATATCCAGCAACCGACCCTCGTGCAAAAGGAATTCCGAGCGGTTCTCGTCCACTCTGGCCATGGCCAGTAAAGCCTTGGCCGCCCTGCACATCATGTCTACGCTAGGTGGTTCCAGAGGCGGGGGCTGCATGTGTATGAGGTTATGCTGGCTCTGCTGGTACTGCGCCATCGTGACCCCGTCCTCCAGGAAGCTTATCAAGTTCCCAATGCTTCCCTTCTGCACAGCTATTGCCCTTGCTGCTAGCGCATCCCCCTGGGCAAGGTTCGATAAAAGCGCCATGGACATTTCTCGACAGACTGGGTTTTTGCGATCCCCAACGTACCTAACTAACGTAGCATAGAATTTCTCCTGACGACTAAATGGAGGCGTGGCCAAGATGAGGTCCACGTTATTGTCCTGGATGCTGAGCTTACAGAGGGTCTCCAGCACAAGTCTTTGAGGCGACAGGACCGAGTTGGGTCCCACTGTGGGAAAGGGGTCTTGCGCCTCTGCGGATGGGCACACCATCCAGTGCAGCAAGCCATCCAGGATCGGCAAGCAGATGCTTTCCGTGTAAGCGGACAAGTCTAGCTGCCCCGAGATGTTGGCCAATGTGACCAGTGTGTTGTCCCGCAAGACCTCCAGGCAGTCCCACCACCACTCATCTTTGCTGCAGGCCACCCCCTTGTCCTCGTCCTCCTCCTTCTCGTAGGTCTGCGGCGCTCGTTTTCTCTCTGGATGCTCGTGGTGAAGAAGAATCAGCTTCCCCAGGATCAGCACCAAGCCCGGATGTTTGGACATCTCGGCGTCGTTGCCAGGCACGAAAGACAAGCTGCGCACGATGTTGGACACGCAGATGCAGCGCCTGGCCAGCGAGTCTTGCCAGTGTGCGATGGTGCACAGTGGGGTCTCGTCCCGGCTCCTGGGCTCATCTTCCAGCAGCCTGATGTTCCGGTGGCTTTTGGCCTGCTGTATACCAAAGGGAAACTTGCTGCTTTCGGTCTGGGGTCCAGGGTTTGCTTCTTCGGGCAAGGCCCCCGGCCGAGCAGACAGGACATCATCGATGGTGGCTATGATGCTTTTCTCTGGCTGCTCTTCAGAATCACCTTTGCCTTCTGGCTCTTTCTTTCTACCTGTGGAGCTTAAAGGGGGAGGTGGGCGCCTGCGAGGAGGAATCTCCATCTTACTCTCAAAGTGGGTCTGGATGTGCTCTGTGGTGTCACCGCCTCCCAGCTGCCAGTGCAGAAGCCCGCTGCTGAACTCCTGCACGCGGCCCAGCCGGTCAGAGCGGTCCACCACAAACAGGTTGTTCTTCTTGACAATCTTTATGGGCAGCCTGTCAAACTTACTGGCCTGTCTGGGCTTCTCTTTGGGGGCTGTAGTGGTGTCTGGGGCAGCGAGGGTGGCACTGCTCTTTGCCTCTGACTCCACCTTTTCCATGTCTTCCTCCTCTTCCTCCTCGTCCTCCTCCTCCTCGAGACCCTCAGTGTCTTCCTCCTCTTTCCCAGAATCTTCTGCCAGGGACTGGCTGTCCTCTCCCTTCACTGCACTGTGACCGAGTGCTTTCTGGCTGGGGTCTCCCACTTCATACTCCATGAGAATTCCAAAAATGTCAATCAGGCATTTTCTAAAGTATTCTACTAAAAGTTCAAGAAATCCAGACAACTAGAGGAGAGGAGAGAGAAGAGGTACAGTCATGACATCAGCTGTGACTGGAGGGGTGAAACCCTGGGACCACCTTTCTGGCTGGGTTGGACCACATGGGTGCTGGGTGAACTTCCCAAATCCCACATCATGAACCAAGCCAACACAGGCACGCCTCCCGTTGCTGCTGACTTTCCACTCCCCCAACCTGAACCTGACTTCTTGCTCCACATTGCTAATGTCATCATTGAGGGAGCGCTCGGCTCCTCTTTATCCACCTGGTTTAGGTACAGCACTCTCATTATTAGAAGAGTAGGAATGTGGATTTTATAGACCCTTTCACCCAAAGTGACTCGTTCTCTTCTATTATTTATCTGAGACTTGCCTGCTGGGATTTTTATGGTTATTATTCTTAGGATTTTATGGTTATTTTTGTCTCAGGTGCCATAGGTTGCCCTAATTTATATTCACTATATATCCTTTAGAGAAGATAATTTCAACTATGTAGTAGCTCATAAACACTGAAAATTAGAAACAAATCAATTTAGTCTTTGATAAATGAATTAAAATGTTTCATAAAATGCAATTTTACATTTCAGTTAGTCACAGCTCACGCTGAAAGACAAAAGCCACTAGGAGAGAGCCACCAACTGTGAGAGCAAGCTGCGATTCCTGTGAGCCCCTGAGCCATGGAGGGCTCGGGGACCCCACTGCCAGCCCTGCCACACAAGGGCCCTCCAAGAAGTAGGTCATAACAAGGGCTCTCCTGACAGACCCCGGCATCACCACACTGTCCTGTTGGCCGGCAGTGTCTTTTGGAAAGTGGTGAGAAGCACCAACTCTGGCACAGTACTTGCTTTCAGGGTCCCAAAGAAACCATTTCCAGGTAGGAACTGGATAACGGAAGCTTACGTTTCCCCTGGGGAAAAGGGGAAGTTAAGAAAGTGACCTGAGAGTGAGAACACGTGACCAGCACAGTCCACCTATTATAAGGATGGAAGTTAATTACTCTAGTGAAGGCCAGATACATTTTTAAAATATTTATTTTCTTTTAAAAGAGACTTTGTGTGACATTTAAGACCTTATTAATCTGCTCTCTATCAACTGAAAATCACCTTCTGGGCCACATTACACTGAGGACTATATGAAAGAAAGGGGAGGTGGGAGAGGATGGTCTTATTTCAGTGGAAGCAAGGAAAGTGCTCTGTTTTTAACAGAAAGCAGAGCATTGCTCATGTGCTCCAGGGAGAAGGGCCCATCCTCGGCTCCCCCCATCCAGCTGCCTCCCGCCCAGCTTCCAGCAGCGCGCCGGCTGGCGAGGCTCATTCTTAAAGGTGAAATGACTGCTTCAGAATAACCTAGGAAGAGGCAGAATAAAGGCGTAGCTCTAGACAGAGGTTTGGCCACAAGACCATGACATTTCCAGCTGGATGTAGGGTAGGGTGGTGGGGCTCACTGACCTCCTCTCTACTTCTATATACTTCATACATTTTCTGTAACATACCATTTGTTGTTATATGTTTTGATGACCCTTTATTTTATTCATTTATATATGTGTGGTGCTGAGAATTGAATCCAGGGCCTCACACATGCTAGGCAAGCGCTCTACCACTGAGCCACAATCTCAGCCCCTATTTGTTTTTAATTAACTGAAAAGTAGGGCAATGTTCCACTGGAACTAACCATATTTTCAACCCTGATTCACTCTTAACTTTTTGTTACATTTTGACTAATATTCCCTTTGGCCTGCTAACATTCATCTAAAGATTTAACTTGGCCACACCGCCCCACCCACAGTCACTGTTTTCCTGAGCAGCACAGGTATGTGTGTGTATCACCTGCCTGAAGTGAGTATCACCGCAGATCACATTCTCAGGCGGCTACATATTGATCAATGTCAATTTATGACTACAGTGATTGGAGAGGTTAGCTGATCACTCCCAATCAACCTGGGCATCAGATCAGATGTGTTGCACGACTGGACTTCATTTCCCAACACTCTAATCTGGCCACTGGCTGGACTGGTGCCAGCTTGCTCACCTGGGAGAGATTGAAAGTAGCAACCGTGCTGTCATCATAGAGAAGGATGTTGATAGTGTCCAGAGCCCAAGTACTTTCAGCCAAAAGCCCTGATTTAAGGGACATCATCACACGCCATGCCTCAGGGGTAACTGAAAACAGGAAAGAATAAGGATATCAGTAAAACGAACTCTGTGAATGAAAGGGCAGAAAGTAACAAAAGAAAGAGAGGAAAGAAGTGGAGCACCGCGTTAAACAGATGCTCTGAGAGCTGAACATGCCCCTCTTCTAAGTATAAATGGAGGTGACAGGTTGTGCTAAGAAACGTCTGTTGTCTAAGGTCTTTTTGTTGTTTTGCTGGTGAAACATGGACCACTGGTAGCTGAGGATGGTGGGCTAGGCACAGGGTCCTTTCTCATCTCGGGTATTTTACCACCTAACAGTCTGTAAGGATGCATTGGTTTCTAGTAAGAATGGGCTCGGAAGTGCTCCTGTCTTCTTTTGCATTCTTCACTCACAAATGTCTCTGGAAGGCTGGTAAGTATGCAGGACACAAAAGGAAAATTTAAATCCCAAATAGCACATCCTCCGATACAAAGCCTTGATTTCCCCATGCTGTCTTCTTCTATTTTTGAGCTCCTGCTCAAGAACATGCTGCTGACAAATATCAGCACTTTGATGGTTAGATTTCAGAGTGTGGTCTGAACCAAGGAATGGGAAATAAAAGGGCTGTATTTTTTCTTGTTTTCCTTATTCCTATTCCTGAAGAAATAAAGTGATTAGATAAAGAATTATAAGATTTGCCTATGCTGGGGCTGGAGAATGGACCCATTACTTTTCACCTGCAGGAGAGCATGGTGGGAGACCAGAACTGAGGAGGAGTCCTGTTCTACCTGATGTGCCTGAGCCACAGTTAGGAGGATAGGAGGGGGTTTCTGGGCACCCATAGTACTGTGTCATGGGGGAGGGCCCTGAACTTGTTCCTCCTTTATTTTATTTAAAAAAATGTTTTAAGCTGTACATAGACAAAATACCTTTATTTTTATGCAGTGCCGAAGAGTGAACCCAGTGCCTCACATGTGTTAGGCAACTACTGAGCTACAACCCCAACCCTCCCCCTTTATTCTAATTCTATTTTTCAAACTTTCTAAGATAGATAGTCATATAGTACTTTTACATTAGAAAAGTCAAACTTTTTTTTTTTTTTTAATAAGGAACAAGCAACTCAGGAGACTGAGACAGGAGGATCATGAGTTCCAAGGATAGCCTCAGCCACTTAGCAAGGCCCTAAGCAACTCAGCAAGACCATGTCTGTCTGTCTCTCTCTCTCTCACACACACATACACACACACACACACACAAAACAACAAACAAAAAAAACACCACACAAAAACACAACCCCCCCCAAACCAAAAACAAACAAACAAACAAACCACCAGGGAGGGGATATAGCTGGTAAAGCACCCCTGGGTTCAATCCTTGTTATCAAAAAAAAAAACAAAAACAAAAACAAAAAAAACCCCACATTTTTCCCTAGGCTTCAGACCAGTACTTATATAACATATACTAAGAATTGTTAAACAATAATAAATGTTTATTTAAACATACATATTATGCACACATTGTGTTTATATATATTTCTATATAAAAAATGGTGTGAAAGTGTCTGCATTTTCTCTCCCCGTGTGATGCCCTCAGATATTAAAATGCCTTACTTTTTTCTCTCTACATATATATCTTCTTCATGTCCAATGACTAAAAACATCTTTAATGCATTAATTTAGAATCTTCAATTTTCTAATTGCTACAAATAATTTAAGTCAAGTGATTCTGAAATTTTTTTCTTATACAACCAACATCTATTATTTCCCTTGTGTTAAATAAATGCAGAAAAACTGTGTACTCCCAGACATTCCAGATCTCTAATGAGCATTTACACTCTCTTGAAGGCTGAACAAGTGACATCAGCTTCAACTGAAGTAGCTCCCTGGGCCACATCTGCCAGTGCTGGGCAGATTACGTCAAGTCAACAGAGCACACAGCAACCCGCTCCAGGTACCGTATCTACGGATGACGGCCAAATCTCCGCTTTTTCCCATGGCAATTCACAGTGTTGTTACCAAATCAGAGTAGCATTCAAATTCTCACGGTCACCCTTAGCATTTCCATGACCTCACAGTGGGTTTGTTAGCACATGATGTAGGGATTAAGTGGCTTGGTTAATGTCAAATCGTTAAGCTTGAAACACAGTATAGAATTACTGAGGATTCCCTGACCTCTTATTTATTTATTTATAATATTTATAAATAAATAAATATTATATTTATAAAAATCTTTATTTTTTAAGATTTATTTTTATGTGGTGCTGAGGATCGAACCCAGTGCCTTGCTCACATGTGCAAGGCATGCACTCTGCCACTGAGCCACAACTTCAGCCTCTGAGCTCCTATTTGAAGCTCTAATCTCCACATAACATTCACACCTAAAAATACCACATCAACTCAAGTTCTTCTCCAGCACCGTCTTAATTTGGATGGTTTCTAACTATTGCTCTTATATAAAAGCATTCTGATAATTTGCACTCATAAGAACTTGTCTTACAGGGCTGGGGATTGTGGCTCAAGTGGTAGCACGCTGGCCTGGGATGTGCGAGGCACTGGGTTCGATCCTCAGCACCACATAAAAATAAACAATAAAGATACTGTGTCCACCTAAAACAAAAATATAAATATTTTTAAAAAAACTTATCTTACTAATATCAACAAAAATTATATCAACTAAAATTAAAATTCTAGGCCAAATTATATGGTTATATTGAGTGTATATATGAATCTGTAGCAATAATCCCATCATTATGTTCAACTATAATGCACTCATAAAAACAATGTGGAAAAAAAATAAAATTCTAGACTTCAACTGAAATTCATTTCCAGAACAAATCTCTGTAATTCTTACCAATATCTTTTGAGGTAATCTTTCGCCTTTGCTTCAGGACTGGCTGTGATGCTTCCACTGAGCCAGGAGGAAAGGTGATCTCCCTTCTGATTGGGGGTGGCTGGGGGGGTGGCCCAGTGACCTGGGACGTGGGGACTGTGGGCATGACCTTCTGCATCTTCATGGTGGGCAGAAAGGGAGACTTGCTTGGAGACATGCGATTCTCCAGGGAGCGCTGGAAGGAAGCCGGGCTGGGCGCCCTGGAGATATGGTTTGGCAGTGACGGTGGTGTCTGGTAGGATGACTGAGGTGGGCGCGTGATGGGCTGCATGGAGGCCGAAGATGACATATAAGGCTGGCGTTGGCTGACGTGAGAAGGCCACTGGCTCTCGTGATTTATCCTCTGATCAGGTACCATCAAGTCATCCGTGCGGCTCATGCCTGGATAAGGGGGAGCCTGTGCAGGGCCGCCGGGGCCCTGCCTGTTTGGGTAGGGGTAAGGCATATCGTTACGCGCTGCCCACATGTTCTGCTGAGGCCCTTCACCGGAGGATGCCTGCATGGGGCCGCCCAGCATCTGAGGCGGGATTCCGTGGGGCTGCATCTGGCCTGGGCCCTGCATTCTCTCTCTGTTGTAGGGGTATGGATACTGGCCCTGAAGGGGCCTCCGGTCCGGGCCAGAGTAAGAACTTCCATACTGGTTGTACATCTCTTGCTGCTGGTTGCCATACTGCATGTTATACATGTCTCCCTCGTGGCGCTTGGCTGGAGGCCCATACATGCCATCCATGTGGCGTTTATAATTCTGAAATTCATATAAAGACAAATCATGCTGGTGTGCTCTTACAGGTATAATCACGCACGCTCAAATTATGCAAAATAGTTATTACCTGGTGGTAATGTTCATTTCAAGATGAACATGGGAAGCTCCTACATAACGAGAACTAACAATTTGGGACTGTTTCCATGTCACATAATGCCTTGTGTCACACACTCCAAAGAGGGTTTCCAAAGTTTGTTTTTACATGTTGGACATTTTCTGTGGCAGAAACAAAAGCCTCCTCTCCTTGAAGCATGGTGACAGTGCAGCCTCAGCACACAGGCGGGTGCTGGGTGGGGCCTGAAGCCACACTGAGAAACAAAAGGCTGGCCCACAGGAGAGCACTGAGGAGCCCAGGGCCACCAGAAGTTCCAGGGCCAAAGAGATGTCTTACAGAAAATTCTCCAGACAGGATTCAGCTCCCCAGGCTGTGACATCATGTCACCCAGTGTCCAGCCCCAGCAGTACCTGTCACTAAGCTGGGAACTCTGGGGACCAGTGCTAGTCAGGGTGGGTGGGAATCTCTGGTTGGGAGGGAGTGAGATGCTGAGATTTTAATTAGTATTTGTTTTACCTGAAAACTGTTTAAGATCAGACAGCTCAATAATATAAGTCCCTGTATGTATGTGTGTGTGTGTGCGCATATATAAAACACACACACATATATATATATACTATTATTATTACATATATCTCTCCAAAAAACCCTAAATGTTTAAAAGTTGCTTTGTGATAAAAATTTAAAAAAAATCCTCTATTTTGCAAGAGGTCTTCCATCTGAAAGGTTGTTTAGAAATAGTGAGGTCCTATGTTTCTGAAAAGCCACCCAGAGGCCCAAGCCTTAGCATCAACTCTGACAGCTGCATGGGGTTTGCACAGCTAAACAGCAACCAATACCAACACCAACTTGAATATGGGGCATTAATATCTTAGTTTTTTAAAGACAAATTAACTTTTACTATATAACATTTTGAGTTGCCTTTTCTATATATTCTTCAAAACACTGACAAATTTCTGTTTTACAACAGCTTTTGACACAAGAGTATACAGTTGTCCCTTGGTATCTGCAGGAGATTGGTTCCATGACTCCTGTGGACACCAAAATCCAAGAACGCTCAAGTCTGAATATGGTGCAGTCTTTGCAAATAACCTATGTACTGCCTCCTGTATACTTTAATTCATCTTTAGATTATTTCTAATACCTATACAATGTTAATGAATGCTTTTTAAATTGCTATCTCTATTGTTTGGGGAATAATGACAAAGAAGCATGTACATATTCTGTACAGATACAATTTTTTTAAAGATACTTTCAAACATTTTTGGTCTGTGGCTGGCTGAATCCATGGATTTGGAACCCACAGACAAGAAGCCAACTGCACACTATGGAACCTCTTCACAACACACCTCACTCTCCATTGGTCTTGTCATCATTTGTAAGAATTAATGTATTTAACTTCATTTAATATGTTATATTTATTTCACAATAATATATAATGAGCTATGTTTAATTACTGACTCCCAAATCCCAGAAGTACTTTTTAGTATTAAATACATCCTGAATATTCAATAAATGCTAATCATTTTGGTTATAATTCCTAAAAATCTTCAGAAGTAACACAAGTTGAGTTTCAGAGAGGAACAGAGAGGAACAGAGAACACAATGACCCACGCCCACTTGCCAACTCACCGGCTGCTGGGGATACAGGCCAGGCTGGTGTCCTCCATATGGCGGCTGTCCTGCCGGAGGACCTTGGCCTGGATACTGCTGCCCATAAGGTTCATGCCTGGAACAAGGCATTCAAAGGAAACTTAATGCACAAAGGATTTCGGATGAGCACAGCATGAACAGCCCATTTTGGAGACTCTACCCCCAGTGGTGCTGCCGTTCCTCTGTCACACACTGCTCCCCACAGCCTTCCTGGGCAGCAGCTGCTGTAGCTTTTAGCAAGAAGGATGGGAACACCCATTTCGGGAGTGCTGCCAAACTCCTGGTTTGGGACGTTGCTAATAGGTGTGAGAGAAATACCGGTTGAACAGGCAGCACCTGTGAGTACCTGCCCAAGCCTTTGAGGCAGAAGCTCCGCCTCCCACTGAAGCTCACCCAGGAAGGGTCACAGGCGCCATGTGAGGCACCATGACAGCAAGAAGCAGAGGAACCTGGGTCTCAAGCAGTGTTGGTAGAAGTGCTGCCACATACAAAATGGTCTACTTTTTACTTTCTCATTATGAATAAAAATGTTTAAGTTTTTAAAGGTCAAACCTAATTCCAATGATGCTGATACAGTCACAAAATTTCATAGTTCTATGACCTGAAAGTCTACAGAAAAAAACCAACAATGACTGAAATGTACTCCTATTAAATCACAACCTGGAAATAAGTAATACATTTATTTCCAACTGCAACTATACTGAGAAATTGTAAATACCATAAAATAGTATGATCTCAAGGGCAACAGATTTGAACTCTTGAAAAATAAGTTGGTTTAAATTAGTAAATTGAATCTTATAAGAAAGAGAATAACAAAATTGAATATACTCCTAACATAATCAAGGAATAAGAAAAAAATAATTTTTTAAATATCAACAGGTAAAAAAAGACATAGAATTTTTTTAAACTACTATGATAATCTAGAAATAAAGAAATATAATTGACATGGATAAAAATCTAAGTGACATTTTTCAGAAAAGCAAACTTAATGAAGTAAATCTCATGTGGTTGAACCAGAAAAGCATATGTACTGGAAATCTTTTAATAATATATGAAAATGTTCTTGTAATCTTGTTAATAAAATCAGTCAGTCAGTTTTAACTGGGCCTTAAACTCAAACCAAAATCCTGATCTGGCACACTAAACATTATAATGGCCAACTGATTGAGGCATGTATATATGGCCAGCGTTACCAACTAGAAGAACAATTCTTCAGCCACTACGAGACAGTGTTTTGCTACTTGGGCACCACATAGCTATATACTCTCAAGAACCGGTGTGCAGAAAATGTCAGGGAGAAACCTTACCTAGTAAAACAGTGATCTTCCCACTTCCTCCCTCTGACTAAACTAAAGAGCACCCCATGTGTGGAGGGCGAGAGGGGCCATCTCAGCAGGTGGTCCCTGGGCATATGCACCCCCAGATCCTGGAGGAAGTGGCCTGAGAGCCAGCTCTGCCCTGTGAGCCCTGTGAGCGGCACTCCACTCTTTCGTTGCCTCCAGTCTCTCCTTTTTTTTTCCTTTGAAGATCAAACATGACATTAAAGCCTGAGTGCTTCCCTGGAAGGGAGGGGGCGAACACTCCCACAAAGGGGAGGGCATATTGAACCAGGGGCACAGGGGAGGGGCCTCGTCACAAAGAAAGCTCCCCGTGCCACTGCTGTAGGGCAGTTTAAGATGACTTCTCTCTGACATCTCAATGGCTCTCTTCCTTCTGGGCTGGTCCTGTGGCCTAACTGGCCACTTCAGTGACAAGATGGCTTCCTTGAGAGGCTCATGCAGGCCACGTGGCGGGCCTTCTCAGAACTGTTTATCAAGGAGTACTGTGCACTCTCCTTTTAGAAGGAAGAGTGGAAACATCAGAAGGAGCAACCTCAGGAAGACCTTTCGGAACGCCCGAAGCGTGACGCTACAACCCTCAGACATTCCTTAAGAAAGAGTGGGGAGAAGAGAGCTGATTCTGCGAAACCCAGGAGTCTGTAGCTCCCAGAGAAGCCACACCTGCTGCAGCCGGGCCACCTCTCTGTGGCGACAGTACTTGCTGGGTGCAGCAGTGTGGCATGGTGTGCTGAGCAGTGGCCTTGGGTCTTGAGGTCACAGGAGAAGCCTCTAGCAGCAGCCAGAACAGCCCCGAGTATCTTATTTATGCTATGAATTTGCTTACAAAAGTACAGAGCCATCTGGTTGCCTGGGGACAAGGTCCTTCTTTGTGGTCCTGCTGTGGCTGTCCCTGGAGGCAGCCAGCTGACACTCACGTGGGGATCAGTGGCAACCAGACAGGAAGGGCCACTGTGCTGCGCTCAGTGGCCCAGCGCCAGGGCTCGGCGAGTAAGTTACAACAGCATTTCTCCTGATTCTTCTTGTCTTCCTTTTGAAAAATACTCACCTCCGGTCATAACTGGCCCCATAGGGAAACTGCTGCCGCTGACCCATGCTCAGGTTGGACACGGCCCCTGCGGGACTCTGGCTGTACACGTCCTGCATGCTGCTGTTGGGCATCTGGCCTTGCGTCATAAAGGGCTCGCTACTTCCAGGCACTGCAATATTTGAAGAAAAGGCATAAAATGAGGCATCTGCAAGTTAACTCCTTCTAGGAGTCTGCCCCATGTCCACACGGCACACCACAATACTAGTGAGAGAGCCCAGGGTCTGAAGTCAGGTGGGTCCTGGCGGGGCAGAACCCTAAGATGTCCCCAAAGACACCTCTGCCACCCCAATGTGTACCTTAAATGACTGCCTTGCTTGGAACATGATGGAGCCTAGGAACAGCATGGGTTATGCTGTCCCTGATTATGGTGTATTAGATGCTAGGAGGGATATCACAGGTGTAATTAAAGTCACTAATCAGCTGTGAGTTAACCAGGAAGGAGAGTATCCAGGTAGCCCTTCAAATCCCTGGCTAGAGGCTGGAGATGGAGCCAGTCTGAGACCTTCAGTTGTCCTGAAGCCACTGCCCTGCTGTGGGGAGGACTGCCTTAAAGAGAGGAGGCAGGGATCAGTCAACAAGCCAGTGGTCAACCAGGCTTTAACCGCAGGAACTGAATTCTGTCAACAACCTGAATGAATCTGAAAAGGACTCAGAGCCTGACACAGAGGGAGTCCTGGCCGACACCTTGACTCCAGCCTGAGGGACCTTCACCTGTTATGCAGCAACCAGCGACCACTCGGGGCCCAGGTCCATACCAATGAGGTCTAAGTCTGATCTATACAAGAGGCCACTCGACATCTCGTGGCATAGCTGTGAGGAAGACAATGAAACGAGTACACACAGTGAGCTCCACTGTGAGGGAGAAGACCTGAAGACCGACACGAACACCTGTGCGCAGACTCTTCCAACATCAGAGGAAATCACCAGAGTAAGAATAGCTCCAGATGGGCTGGGCCCTGGCCATTTCTAACAGAGGTAGCCCGCCAATAAGCCCCTGCGCGCAAATCTGCATCGCTCAGCTGAGGAGATGGGACCAAGTCCAGAAACGAGCCTTCAGGCAAATTAAACATTCCAGTGCAAACTTTAATTGATACATCATGCTTTCTTCATTCTATGATGGTTGCTTTTATGCCGGGCGAGGCAGAAGCTGACTAAGTTCCTGAGCTCAGGCATCTGTTAGGCTGGTACTGAGGCGAACCTGGGGCCGCCTCGGGACCAAGGCCTTCACGCACCGTGCACTTCCTCCTACTTGACGGAATGAATTACTCTCCATTTTATAGATGTGAAAACAAAAAAACCAAGTAGCATAATTAAAATTAAATAGCTTAATTCCCGGATACACAAAAAAATTTCTTAAAAATCAATAGGAAAAAAGACAAAACTGGACAAACCCATTCAAAGAAAAGGAAAAACAAATGAACAATCAACAAGTGACATGTGAAAAGATGTGGGAGCTCACTAATAATTAAAGAAATCCAAGTCAAAATGATCACAAGGCCTTTTCCCCACAGTGTGACTGGCAAACATTAGAATGACTGACATTAATCATCCCTGGTGTGGGTGGGGGACCCACTCTCTTACACACGTGCTGGGAGTACCTGGAGTTCTCAATACCTGCTAAGGGAGGCTACTCTTCCACAACCCCAAGAAGCACATCTACTGATATTCGGCCTGTGAAGTCTCCTCCCTAGTGACTTGGAGCTGGATCACGTGATTAGTACTGACCAGTGGGGCCAATGGGTACAAGCAAATTCTTGCAACTGGCACATGTTCTTTTGGAAGCTCCCTTTGGAGTCTTATCTTCTTGAGCCCTATCTATCATGTCATGGGGACCAAGAAGTTAGGCAAAAATTTCCTATGGAGGAGTCCCCAGCCCAAAGCTCCAGGAGTCTTCTGTAGAGGCTGGCCACTCAAGAGACACCACCCACAGAGCTCCCAATCTAGCTGTCAGATGCTGGTAGCCACCTCAGTGTCCTGGCTGACAACATACGGAGCCAAGAGCTAGCCAGCCTAACACAGCCACGAGACAGTGAAGACACTGCAAAGTGGTGCTGTTGAAGCTACTAAGTTTGGGGGTGGTGTGTTGGATCGTAGATTACTGAGATACTTAGTCAAGGAACAAAACAAAACAAACAAAACTTCCTGTCCTTTGAACAATCTGAGTGAGGGACAGATTTGCAGAAACACTGTCACAAGTGCTGCTAATTCAACAGCCACTGCATCACTGTTCACAACAGGAAATATTAGGAACTAACCCATCCAGCTCCAGAGCATTAGGTGTATCTATCTATTCCATTACAAAAAGCAAGTAGAGCTATGTGTTCAGATATAACAGATACTCAAAATAACCACATACAAACACCATGATCACTTGTCCGGGATCGGTACCTCAGGAATAAGGCAAAAGCCTGGCACTTGGGTTCACCATGCTGCCACACCATGGGTTGTCAACTCCCACAGCAGCTGTCTCCGGGTGGCAGCCATGACAAAGAGCATGTTGTCCACAGAGAGTGGTCTGATCAGCTCACTGCCAAGTTCCCTCACAGAACGAGGCAACTAAAGAATGGAAACTGCACTGAATAGGGATCGGGCTGTAAAAAAAATCTATTTCCTGTGGATTTCTATTTAACTGTTTTAATTTGGGATTAAAATACAAATTTTTCCATATTATTGTCATATTTTCAAAGTCTAAAAGTGGGATATGGACACCAAAATTTCAGCAAGTGAGCTGAAATATACTAGGGATTGTTCTAGTCATTGTCTACATAGCTGATGAAGCACATTATATATCTACCTAGTGCCTGGCAAGGTAACCCCACAATCACTACCCCAACCCCCAAATTCATTTTTATAGCATGAAAAGCTATAGGTATAAGGAACAAGACAAATACTACTTTAGCTAACAGCAGATAGATAGGAGAGTGAAATGGTCCACAGTAGATTTTGAGGCCAGATTTTGAATACTATTGAGTACTATTAACTGTCACTCCTACTATCACTCCTACTACTTGTATTTGGATATTAGGGATTGAACCCAGGTACACTTTCCATCCTTAGTACTTTTTAAAATTCTGAGACAGGGTCTCAATAATTTGCTGAGGGCTTCAGTAATTTGCTAAGGCTGGCTTCAAATTTGCAATCCTCTTGCTTCAGCCTCCCCAGCTGCTGGCAATACTAGATTTTTCCCATTTTGTTCTCATATTTTCAGAGTCTAAAAATTGGATATGGACACAAAAACACTGACAAAATGTTATATCTAGCCTTTAGTATCACTATGAAAAATATCTACCTTTAACATGCACCAAGCTTTTGAATTTCTGAGCCTACAGATTATTGTATGGTCTGCAAAATGTTTACTTGGAATAAGTAGCCCTGAAACCTTTGAAAGGAAAAAGTAGAGATTATCTTTGCTTTATGTTTTCTGAAATATCATACATGAAATATTATAAATCTCAGTTGTTTAATGGTATATACCCAATATTTGAATTTTGGGGATTCTTCATTTTTCCTTTCACTAGTTCAATACTAAAAAAATTTGTACTTTAATTCCAAATTAAAACAGATAAATAGAAATCCACAGGAAATAGATTTTTTTTACAGCCTATCCCTATTCAGTGCAGTTTCCATAATACTTGTGAAAACCATAAACATAAAGCTTCAAGGTTTTTGTTTCTCTCTATTTAGACAATATAACAGCACAGATTTCCTTATTAAGGGATCCCAGAGTTAAGTGCTTCCATAAAAATATCATTCACTATTTCTGAAATTTTTTCACTCATGTTTGCATCATGTCTTAATTTCACAGGACCCAGCTGTACTTGGAAGGATGACAAAAAGCAAACTTCCAGGTTTTCTGCTTGGGGCTGACATGCTGGGGGAGAGCCAGGACTTTATGTGGACGCAGCCTGGGAGGAACCCACCCAGCACTCCTGGCCTCCTCCAGGGGTTCGCCCAACCCTCCCGCTCTCCGACTCTCAGTCCCACAGATACAGACTGTCCCTGTGCTCAGGATTCCAAAGTCACACCCTGCACACACCGCCACTCTTCACCACCTGGACACAGTCACAGTGATGCTGGATTTCCCTCACTGTCCTGTTCCTCTCCCAGTGCCTCCAGCCACCAGCCTTTGGTTCTCAACCCCACCCTCCCAACGGACTTCTGACTCCACTCAACTTCTCTCAATACATGCACCATGAGATGATCAGATATTTATGTATAATTTACTTTTACCAAAAAAATCTAATCATGTCACTTCCCACACCCCTCACATGGCAAAGAACTAAATCTATCCATCTGCCATGAAGGCGGAGGGCCTGTCCCTGTCTGACCTGGATGCCTCAACCTGCCCACATTCACTACGCCCCAGGCAGCTGCCCCCTCTACAAATATGCCCAGCAACGTCCTGAGGGGGCTCCTTCCTTGTCCTCAGATATCTGACATCTCAGAGCCCTCAGAACCACACAATCTCAGTAGCTTTCCCTCCCTTTCATCGCCCCAACCTCTTGCTATCCTTTCTTCCTTTTTTCCCCTTTCTTCTATCAATCATGATCTTATAAGCCATTTGAGGCCTAATCTCCCCCCTCTTAGGAGTGTCAGTTCCTGGAGGGTAGGGCTATGCATGATTTATCCTACCTAGCACCTAGCACTGTGCCTGGCTCAAACTAACAGAACAGCACCACACTGCTAGGTAGTACTGACCGTGCTTGCTTACAGGCGCCCCTTATTCCTCCACAGGCTTATGTGCGGGAACTCAATTAACCCTCATGACGCCTCTGAGGCAGGTCCTATTACTTTCCCAATTTCTAGATGAGGAAAATAAGGCACTAAGATGCTTAACATGTTCCCACAAACAGAAGGGTGGGAAAGCTGGGGCCGCCAAACCCAGAGAGCACGCGCTTCCACCTGTTCTGAATGGACAGGTAAGTTGGCAATGGAAGAGCAGTGCGAAGAGTGTCCTTAGGCCTGCGTATGGACAGAGGCCCCTCTGCATGTACCTTTTCTCATTCCACCAAAGGGGTCCTTGTTGGGTTCATAGGGCATTCTGCCCATCATGTCTGGCATGCTCATGCCCTGCTGGTATGGGGCGTTTGGAGTCATGGAGTTCCGTTTTGGGAATGATGAATCACTCACGTCGGAGAAGGGGTCGTGCACACTGATTGTACTGCTTCTGAAGAGATGCAAACAATGAAAGCTTAAAATCAGGCACAGGCAAATGCGAATCAAAACTACTCTGAGATTTCATCTCACACCAGTCAGAATGGCAGCCATCAAAAACACAAATAATAATAAATGCTGGCAAGGATGTAGTGAAAAAGGAACACTTACAAGTTGATGCAAGTCCTCTTACTACAGTGATATATGCATACCCATGTTTATAGCTGAACTATGGAACCAGCCTAGGTGTCCATCAATGGATGAATTTAGATAGGGAAAATGTGGTATATGTAAAATGTGGTATATGTACACAATGGAGTTTTATTCAACCACAAAGAAAAATGAATTTATGTCATCTGCAGGAAAATGGATGGAACTAGAGACCACTGGTGAAATAAACCAAACTTAGAAGGCCAAGGGTGAAATTTTTTTCTAATATGTAGAAGCTGGAGAAGAAAAAGGGAAAGAAAATTGGAGGGGATCTCATGTAAATTAAAGGGAAATCAGTAAAGGAGAGAGACTGGGATGGGAGGTATGCAGGGAGGGGTGAAGTGCTGGGGAGTGATACTGGCCAAATTATGTTGCCATTATGTGCATGTATGAATACGTAACAACAAATCCCACTACTATGTACGACTATAATGTATCAACAAAAAAAGTGGAAAGAAAACAAAAAGTGAAAGCTTAATGATAATAGTAGGAGTTAATAAATCAATCTTGAAACTTACCAATGCAAAAACCATCCAAAATAAATTACATGAACAAAGCTAATAATAATCAACATCTAAAAACTCACTAGAAATACTATGTCTTCATTTGGTGAAGTTTGCTCCTGAAAAATCAAAAGATAAATCTGACTCTGGATGGGTCATAGTTCTCTGAACATACCTTCCGCCTTGCATTGGGGTCATCTGTCCATGAGGAGTGGAGGCTGGGGTGGGTGGCTTCAGGTCGCCTGGAACCTCTGCCATGGAATTGCTGCCAGTTGACTGGGGGGTCTGTGGGCCTTGCAAAGATCCTGAGTTAGCTGGCGGTGGGCAAGGGAAAATGGAGAAAGAAAGCAAAGGTTGCTAAGTGGCTGGCTTTTGCTTTTTATGTACATAAAAGAAACAATTTAAAATAAGGCACATTGATTGAAATAGTATCAATAATGTACATGTATGGATATGTAACAACAAATCCTCTATTATGTATAGTTATAATGTACCAATAAAAAAAGGAAAATAAAAAGAAACAGTACCAATATCCACTGAAAACAAGTCAGTAAAATTAGTTGCTTCACATTGTTTATAGTGAAAATTATACTGATCCTTGGTAAGATTATTTTTGAGTAAAATATGTGGGCATATACTTCATTTTTGAGTCATAAAACATTTATACCTTTTGACTGGGTAATTGCTTTCCTAAGCATTTATCCCAAGAAAATAATAAAAAGAAGGCTTTAGGCAGAGCAATGTTTATTCCAGTGTTATCTATCTAGTCTAAATGTAAATAAAGAAAAACAGGATAAAATTTTTAGTACAACAATTGGCACACTATTGTGCTACGTTAGAAAAAAAATTAGAAAACAGTTATTAGTCTTGGGGAATGAGAAATTTTTAGCAGGAAAAGAAATAAGGAATGATACAAAGTATCAATGAGCCTTCTGTTATTTTAACACCTTCTCAACACCTGGGTGTCTAAGCACAGCCCTTAACAACTCAGTTGTTTTTGGAGTTATAAAATCAGATTCATCATGAAAAAACACAAGTTATTCTGGTTTGGAGTTCTTTAATGTTGCTGCTGAAGTTCTGAGATTTTACTTTAAAGGCTCCAGCTATATCGGGCATCATGGTCCTTAACATGCTGGATGTCGGCAGACATTGGTTCCACATATTGACTGGGCACAGGTGAGGTGCCTACTGAACTCCAGGTCTCTTCTACACCTGGGTACAGAGTGTAGCAAACCGACAGGCAGGCGACAGCCCTGTCCTCACGGAGTTCACAATCAGGGCGTTCACAACTGGAACCGAGGGCAGGCAGGGTGGAGCTGACTGGAAAGGACAACATTTGCTGTTACTGTTTCTGCTTTCTTTCCAATAAAACTCAGGGCTCACTATGATTAGCATTATTCACATGTCCCTGCAGAGAAAACGGAGGTGAAACAAGTACCCAGATTACAGGGCACACTGTGAAGGAGGCAGAAATGGGAACGAGTAGATGATTTTCTTGTTAGAAAGCCTCTCTCTAAGCACAGACCTTCTGGCCAGATTACAACTGCCTGGCCCTGGCCCTTGGTTTGACTGGTCACAGGCTGTGCTCTATGTGCTATCCACCCTGCATGCCTGGCACTCAGAGACTCGAGATTTCTCGGACATGCAGGAAGACTATCTCTACTAACACGGGGATTTATTTTGTTTATTTTTATGTGGTGCTGAGGCTCGAACCCAGGGCCTCACACGCACTAGGTGCACACTGGACCGCTAAGTTACAACCCTAGCCCCTAACACAGGCATTTTGAGGAAAAAAAATAATGACTGCTTACAAATAAAATTTTGGCCAAACGGAGAAATGCATATTGAGCAGGTAGGTCATAATAATAAAAGGGTAAGGCAGGCTTACAAATACACGAGGGCAGTCCTGCAGACCGGCCGCCCCCAGGGCTGCAGATGAGAAACCGCCTGCTCCTTAAAGCAAGCAGGCTCCCCACGGCCTTCCTGAAACCAGGCGCACAAGCTGTGATTACAGAATGACCCTTATGTACAAGTACTCACATTTACAGCTAATAAAATCAGGAAAAAAAAAAAAAAGGAAAAATTCTCTCTTGCCAGGGTTTCCCCTTTCCTTTCGGGGGGAAAAAAGTAGCTCCTTTAGGAGGAGGCAGGGCTGGCTCTCTAGGACATCCCTACCTTTTGCCAGAAGCTACAAATGTATACTCTAAAGTAAACAATGGAAAGGTTACTGAAGGTTAAGTACATTCACAGCTTCACACAGAACAGCCAGGCTCCTAGCTGGGAAGATAATTTACACAGCACGGAACCGGTGCCCTAGTTCTGGTGGGAGGGACGTGGGGAGGAGGGTGAGGAGAACAGCAGCTGATGTGTCCCAGGTCTGGTGACTGGAGGTCAACCAGAGGGCACCTTTGTTTATACCCCAGCCCCTTTCTCATTTATCTTCCACTGAGGATTCCCTAGTTGGATCCGTGACAGGTTTTGTGACATCACCTGTCAACTAATAATAGAAATTCAGTCAGCCACCTGCCAGCAAAGATGGATGGGTTTTTGGTTACAGCCTTACTAATTGAATGTAGAGCTTCCGTGCCTGGTTCTCCATGGAGCCCTTCAGCTCCCTCCGCCCTCTGGCCTGCTGGGGCCACTGGTTGGTGGTTCCGGTGCCTGGCTGATGTCCGAACGGCTCTGCGATACTCTATAGGTTCAGTAATGGAGACCCCTTGGTGCCTTTAGAGATGCAGACCACAGCCCAAGGCCTTGTCCAGGTTCATGTGGGCACACCTGGGTGTCTGGTGTGCCTATGCAATGTAGCCCCAGAGGCGAAGAGGTCATGCCTCCAGTGACCGACTATACGGATATCTTGAGCCACAGAAGCCACATCAAATCAAAGCTGTACCAATGCAATGCTCTTAGGATTCAGCCAAGTGATTTAGCTTTTTCTTTTCATTTCTTTTTCTTGGTACTGGGGATTAAACCCGGGGGCACTCCACCATTGAGCCACATCCCCAGCCCTTTTGTATGTTTCTATTTAGAGGCAGGATCTCATTGATTTGCTTAAGGCCTTGTTAAACTGCTGAGGCTGGCTCTAAATTTGTGATCCTCCTGTCTCAGCCTCCCCAGACGCTGGGATTACAGGCGTATGGCTGTGATTTAGCTTTTTCATTTGGTTCAGAGACTATTTGGACAAAAATCTAGAATGTTTCTTGGGAATCATTTAGTTTAGTTTACCTGGATGTGCTGATAGGAATAAACTGGAATCATGTTCTTCTTTTTTTGGTACTGGGCATTGAACCAAATGGGGCTTACCCACTGAACCACATCCCCAGCCCTTTTTTATATTTTATTTAGAGATAAGGTCTGAGTTGCTTAGGGTTTGCCAAGTTGTTGAGGCTGGTTGTGAACTTGTGATCCTCCTGCCTCAGCTTCCTGAGCCTCTAAGATTACAGGTGGCGCTACTGCATCCTGTATAATTGTGGGTTTTTTAAAAAGTATTTTAAAAAAATATATTAAAATATTTGATGGACTTTTATTTTATTTATTTGTATGGGGTGCTGAGAATCAAACCCAGTGCCTCACGCATGCTAGGCAAATGCTCTACCACTGAGCCACAACCCCAGCCCTATAATTGTGTTCTTAATGACTTCAAAGAACACTTTTTTTTTTTTTTTTTTGCTGAAAATTAGATTAAAGATCATGGAATCATCTTTTATGAGATACTGACATGGAGAATAGTTAGGAAGATTTTTAATTTCCTTCTTTGGCAATACAAATGTTTCAGAGATACTCTCCTTAGTGGTGGCATTAGGCCCAGACAGGCCACCAGACGGGTGCATGGACAACTGATGCAAGGTCTGACTTCGGATGTGAGGACACCACTGCTCACTACCCTCTGGCCAGTCTTTGTGGGGTCCACAGAACTCAGCACGGTGCTCTCCTGGCTGGCCACTGACTTCACAATGAAGGCCAGGAAGCTCTGTTTTCACTGCCTCCTGTGTCACAGGCAGGACCCCAGCTCCATCTGATCCAAAGGGTGCATGCACAATCTAACCTCTTTTGTGTAACTCAAATGTAATGCCATCCTAAAGGCAGCAGTTTTAGAAAAGGGGAAGGAAAGAGCCAGCGGTTAGAACAGGCCTCTGCTTTCTGGAGGATGGACTTTGGTGGGGCTTCAGTGCTGGGCTGAGGCATGCCGGGAGAGCAATCCCCACAAGCACAGACTGTTCGGGGACGTGCTGCTTCCCTTGGATCTTTGCAGACATCACCACTTTGTTCCCTGCACCCCACTGAGTTTTTATTTTGGAAAAATAGTTTCAGAGCTGTTTGTGGCAAGCTTCTTTCATTCTGTGAAATCAATGTAATACGCAATTTAAAAAGTTAGATTTCCCAGTTTTTCAGAAACACCCTAAGTGACAAAGGCTCAGGATTTTTAAGGTGGGGTCAGAGAGGAGGATTCCTCCTTATACTTGGAACCTACAGGTCTAAATCTAGGTGTGTTTTCTACAAGTGTACTCCAGGCTGAAAAGTGTTTATGTGAGCGGCTTGACTGGCAACCTTAGATACCAGCTTTGCCATCCAGACAGCAGCTGGAGGCAATCATCAAAAGGGAACAACTCCCTTCTCTGCCTTCTAGGTATCAACCATTTATCTGCTACAAAGACACTGTCATACAAGCTGAGGCATTTGGTGGGTTCAGTGAATGAGCTAGAGTCAAACACCCCAAATCTGACCTCCTGTGGCCCTGCTGCGTGGCTGTGAGGAACTTAGCTTCTTCCTGCCTTTGCTTTCTCAGGGGTATCTAACAGCATCCAGAGCCAGGACTGATAGGAAGGCAAAGTGATGAGCATGCTGAAAGCTCCTGGCCCACTGTATACAACCAGAACAGAGCGACAGCTCTGCTCAGAGCAGGCTGTGCTTACACCAGCAGTGTGTGTAGCCTCTGTCTCCTGTGTAGGGACAGGGAACAGCACAGCAAAGTCACTGCTGAAAGTCACTGGGCTTGGAAATGTCCTCTGTAATGACGAGTGGCCAAAAACAGAATTGGTGGGATTTTCTCGGGTGGGAAGGTCACCTAGAGCAGAGCATGCTGCCAGCTTCTTCCTGCCTCAAGTACTGCATTTACTATCAGAATAAGAGACTCAGTAACTTCAAATCTGAATCCTAAGTGGGAGAATGAAGGCCAGTGGGAGAGCTGCAAAGAAGGGCAGGCTCTCCCAGGGGCTGGAGAGGCAGGCATAGGCACTCTGTCTGCCTGGAGAGCCACACGTATGCAGGGTCCTGACTCTGGACTCCGTCTAAGCTCACCACTCAACCCCTTTCAGAAGCAGGGATGGACGGATATTGATGGTGGTTCACGGGATTCCTGCAAAGTGAGAACCTGCTGGGTAGGGGACATCAGAAACCAGGTACGAATTTCATTTTGCTAATATACAAACCTGAACCCTGGGAAGAGGAAGGGTTGACACTAGCCAGTTGTTATACCTACAGGTGACATGGTGCAGCAGGGCTAAATTTCGGAACAGGTGAATGTGATATTTATTTTATGCAGTTATGTGGCGTATTTAAAAATTCTTGTATAAGAAATAAAGACATATAGCTCAGAATTGCAAAGTCCATTTTGACTAAATTAGGTAAAAGCAAAAGAGTGAGGCCTTTCAAGTGCCGACCACTGAGGGCAACACCCCAAATCTTACGCTCACTTTCCTAAGCACTGCCAGTGGGTCCAATTAAACAATAAAACAAAAGGAGACACCACTTCCTCTCAAAGGTCTGGAAGGCCCCTCCTCTCCTCTCTCCCTGTCCCCACAGCTGTGCAGCCTCCAGTTCTGGCCTCTAGCACCCTGGGCTTCCCTCTGCCAGCTGTAGCGCTGCCACCTACCAGGAGATGGCGGCTGGAGTTTGGGCTGCTTCTTCGTGTCCCCGGTGCTGAAGACTTCAGGTGGGGGCTCCTCCCCTCGCTCGATCTTGCACTCGAAAGCAAACAGGTACTGGATATACTGCTTTTTCAGGGAGCTCGCTGCACTGCTTGAAGTGCCAACATTTAGGTTGGTTGCCAGCTCACGCCACTTCTTGTTTTTATTAACCTAGCAGAAAAAGAAAAAGAGAAGAAACAGCAGGATCACTGGTTTGCAGCAAAGTGGCTTGTTTAAAGCCAGGAGACAAAAAAAGCACTTAATGTCTTGGTTGACTTTTTTTCATTTGCCTCTTTTAACTAATGCTCATTACTCCCACTCGCAGCGCAGACAGCGTTCACAGTTATGAAGCCATTAAGCAACCTGCTGATAGCGACATAAAGGCACGCTCACAGAGGCCTTCTACTGGCTCCAGCTCCTGAGGCCTCGCACAGGGCCCTCCAGTGAAGGGTACTCCTGCTCACACCTATCCCACCCCATGGCCAATTAAGCAAAAAGGGCATCAAAGAATGGCTTTAAAAGTAATAGCACAGTTTTTCAATTTAAGTGTGCTTTTCTCCAACAGCCAGTAGTTCCCAAACTGAGACCGTAACTCTGGCCATGTCCATCTGTCCACTGCCCTCTCACTGGAGGATTCTTGTGGTATGGGCAGAAGCAGCATCAATGCAAAGGCGGTGAGTCCTTGCCACCAAATGCCCCCAATTTAAAAACACGTTGTGGTGCCGTGGCTCCCTGGCTGAGGGCATGGGTGGGGGCCTACATTTGTAAGTACTGCCCAGGATGAGCCCACTCAGGCTGGAGACACCTCCACTGCAGAAGGGACGGGGACAAGTGCAGGGACAGGGCAAGACGACAAGGAGGCCCTGAAGTGCAACATAAAGATTCGGGGCACTCTTTCACCTCATTCCCTCCTGGGAGCAGGTTATGAAAGGTCAGACACACAGTGAAACGTGGAGATCTACAAATGACTTGGGGCAGGATGTGCCTTTGGTGTCTGCTGTGCTAAGTAGCGCTGAAGGGTCAAGGAGACAGCAGCTTTTCATGAAATGTTGAATTTCTAGAGTCCACCTTTCTTACAGGGCTCTTTACGTCCATGCATCTAGTACTGAATGACGCAGAATAAACCAAGTGTGGAATGCTAAGGGAAAAGCCTCTTCTGCTACTTAACACAAGGCTGCAAACAGCAGGCCTGTGGCTGCCACAAAACCGGACAGCATGCTGTTTGAGGCAGCCTGAGTGGGTGAGTTTGAGCTGGTCAGTGCATGGGTGCAGCTGTCCCCAGCTACATGTGAGTAACCCTCTCATTAGTAAGCTAGCAAAGATTCTTGTCTGCAGATCCAATCTGGGTATGCACTGCTGAGAGAGTCACAATAAGGTAGCCCGACAACTGCTATATGATACCAGTTTGATGGTCTTGGTGATTCTGAAGTCTCTGTTGGAAAAAGTCTAGGTGTAGGAACGTGGGGAGTGGGAGAAGGTGGAGGGAAAAGGTATCTGGATCACTCTCTGAGGACCATCACTCACATGGGTCTGTGTCACATAACTCGTATCCGATGATGCAGAGTCTTGGAAAAAGCTTTAACAGTTTCTGTCATAGGCCTTAGTCAGGTGTCCAGGTGAAAGGGTGTCCAGTGGGAAGGCCAAGAACAAAAGTCCCCTCTGTGTCCCCCAAAGTGGTAGCATGAGACACAGCACACCCTCAGTGACAATTATGAATGAAGACTTGCCCTTGGATAGTGACCTGGTCACCTTGGTCACCAGGAGTGGAGGCTGTCTTATTTCACTGGTCTGGGGTGGGACCCAGGAGATTTTCATACACGGCTGGGGTGGAGAACTACTGGGGAATCAAAAAGGCATGTTTTGGAGTCAGACAGATCTGGCTCTGCTACCTACTGTGGGAATGTCCCTAGGCCACTATATTCTTGTACTTTATCCTGTTATTAGAGTTTCTTCATCTATTCTACCCCATCCCTTGTACTAGGTATTGAACCCAGGGCCTTACCTGTGCTAGGGAAGCATTCTACCACTAAGCTACTTCCCCAGCTTTTTTTATTTTTAATTTTGAGACAGGGTTTCCCTAAATTGGGCCTGTGATCCTTTTGGCTTAGCTGAGCTGCTGGGATTACAGTCTTGACACATGGCCTCCTCATCTATGCTTTGGGTCTGTTGACCCTGCACCTTGTGGGCATATAGAAAGACAAAGGCCACAGTGTGACACTAGCTCATGATTTAGTACCCTCACATGTTTCTATGACAGGATATGTCCAACCAACTAGGCTCCTTACTAAAAAATGGTAGGGCTGGGGTGAGTCAAGTAGGTGCCCAGGTCATAAGATTTAGGGGACACTTATTTTGAGAGTTAAGCAGTAGCTCACCAGGACCATGAGCACCTCCTGGAGCTCTGTACCCAGGCCGCCTCCCCTGTTCCGCTCCAGCCCAGCTCTATCTACTACAAACCACACAGCAGCCTCCTCACTGCCCAGAGGTCATGGACGTGGCTTTACCAGGATGACTTAATTTCTGTGATAAGTTGCTCTGGACAGAGGGAAACAGTGAATGTGATTTATATCTGATCCAGATAATTAATTCAGTCATTCACAAAACATTTCTAAAGTGTTTATATGAATTCATGGCAGATTCCAGAGAATTCTAGAGCTACTGAGGTCACACTGGATTGTGGCAGAGCCACCCCTTTCTCCATCAGGAAGGTGACTTTCCAACAGGTTTAGCATTTCTTTTGTGAGAGAAAAACCTGATTCCAGCCAGGTGTGGTGGTGCACTCCTGTAATCGCAGTGGCTTGGTAGACTGAGGCAGGAGAATGATGAGTTCAAAGCCAGCCGCAGCAAAAGCTACATGTGAAGCAACTCAGTGAGACCCTGTCTCTAAATAAAATACAAAATAGGGCTGGGGATGTGGCTAGTGGTCGAGTGCCTCTGAATTCAATCCCTGGTACCCCCCAAAAGAAAAACAAACAAAAAACCCCCAAGTCCACATATTCAATGAAAGCTTCTGTAAGATTCTGCTTGCAATGACTCCTCATTCATTTCCTCATTCTTACCTGGGCCAAACCTCCAATCTCTTTGACACAGACATAGAGCCGGAACAGGTCCAGGGGCTTCTTGCCCACTGCAGGCAGACTGGAGACCGGGGAGCCCCTCTCTTCCATGAACGTCAGATACCGGTCTACCCACAGCTTCCTCTCTGGCTCGTTCCCCAGCTCGTAGACCTTTGTGATCTTCTCCCCAGTGGTGGTGGATGAACTGGACTTCTAGTGCCAGAGAGAGCATGTGGAGACGGGCAGGGAGGTGGAGGGAAGAAGGTGAGGAAACAGTTGTGAGCCCACCAACAAGAAGAGACGAGAGTAAAAACTACTGCTATCACGTGACAGTCAGGAATGAAGGCTACTAGTTCAGGCACAGACTACACATTCTCTTAGTTAAGATTTTACTTTGACTTTAAAGGGCCCAAACTTTCCCTTTTAGACACTTAAAAAACTAAACCAAAATGAACAGAAACCTGCTTTAACTTATAAGCGTTGAATCCCAGAAGGCAACATTCCAATGAAGTGTCACGGCATTTTTTGAAGAAAAGATTCTAGCTCAGAGAAGGATCATAGTGAATTAAAAATATTACCTGTTATATTGCAGAGCCCCCAAACTAAATCTATTCCTACTTTTCCTTGTCACACCAAGAATGGCTAGTGTGGGGCCAGGGCTGTGGCTCAGTGGCAGAGTCCTCGCCTGGCATCTGTGAGGCACTGGGTTCGATCCTCAGCACCACATAAAAATAAATAAAGGTATCCTGTCCATCTACAACTAAAAAAAAAAAAAAAAAAAGAAATAATAATAATAAAAGAATGGCTAGTGTGTGTCTCATGAAAACCCTGAATCACTCAGAGGAGTGACAGCGGCACTTACTGAGAAACACAAAGTCTGGCCCTGAGCTGGTGCATATGCCGGGCCAGGGCTTAGCTCTTCACGGCTCTCCCCACTCAACACTGCCCGAGCTCTCAGATTCTTCTTTTAATAGCTCTCAACTCCTGCTCCAGCCACACGTGGGCCTCACCCTCAGCACATGTGTAACACATGTTCACCTTCCCTCTGGATCGTGGATCTGGACAGGTGGCTCTCAGTTCTATGCAGCCCTATTACATTCCTATCTTTTGTCTCTATCCTTGTAATAATGTATATGTATTTATAACATCTGTAATGCTAGGGTTACTGTGTAAAACCACTGCTAAGTTCTCAATAAAGATTTCCCCGGGGGCCGGGGCTGTGGCCTGGCATGTGTGAGGCACTGGGTTTGCTCCTCAGAACTACATAAAAATAAATAAATAAAAGAAGGATATTGTGTCCATCTACAACTAAAAAAATTAAAAGAAAAAAAAAGATTTCCCTGGAACAAATAATTTATTTCATTCTTTCCTGAGTATTTATTAGGCTGTCACTGGCAATACAGTCACAATTTGAAACAGTCCTGTTTTTTTTCTTTTTAATTTTTTTAGCATTAACATGGTTTAAAATATATAGCTGAAACTCAGTGTGTGGGGGTGGTCAATAACACGACTGACACTGTGCTTGGCTGTTACACCTTATTTCTTGACATGATCCTTAGTAAAAGTCAGGCGCTGAAAAATGATGCCTGAGAACGGAACCCTCAGAGCCTCTAGAGTGGCAGCTCCCGTCTGCCATGCCACTGTCCAAAGCCATCTGGCTGCAGTATTAAGCCTTCACCTTTAGAATTACTGAGGCATAAAATCTTTGCATAAAATATATAATTATGGGTGACGCAGTTGATGCAGATTAAAATGTAGAATGGTAGGATAAAAAATAGTGTGAGCTTTTGAGAACTGTCTTTGGTGTTGATGTTAAAACTTCAACTCACTTAGAAATTATCATGATCATTGCTACTTTGTGGTACTAGGAATTTAACCTGTTGGCTTGCTACCACTGAGCCAATCTGCAGTCCTTTTTTAAAATTTTTGAAATAGGGTCTCGCTAAGTTGCTGAAGCTAACCTTGAATTTGCAATCCTCCTGCCTCAGTCTCCCAAACTGCTGGAATTATAGGCATATGCCACCACTTGTGGCAAGAAATTATTTTAGGTAAGAACTTAAAACATACATCCATATCTATATATCTATATATATGTATGCCCACATGCATCCAGGTTATGTACATATATGTCCTTCCTTCTGTGCTATTGTACTCCAGGATTATTGGAGGTGGAAGACAAAGTGTCTACACAGCTCACACTGGACTCTCAGACTGACTGCACTGCATGACATGGGTGTCATCAGCAGGATGCTGCTGCCAGGTACATGCTAGTACTGAGCTGCTTTTCTTTAGGGGAGACACACTAGAAAAAATAAGTCCTGTGTTTTCCAAAAGTGAAGTTTTGAAATAATAAGAAAATGAGGAAGAAAGTATTACCTCCTGTAATCAGTTAAATTAAAAAACGTCTTCCTTCTTTCATGTCACTTTTGAAAAAATGAGAGGTAAAGTTTGAGATTAAAGATATGAGAAATAAAAGCAATCGTTTCAATTTAAAATGACTAATTTTATCCTTACCCTAAATTTAAGATCCATTTGCCATCTATTTAGTTTAAAAAAAATTTTTTTTAGTTGCAGTTGGACATAATACCTCTATTTTATTTACTTATTTATATTTGGGTGGTGCTGAGGATTGAACTCAGTGTCTCGCATGTGCTAGACAAGTGCTCTACCACTGGGGCACAACCCCAGCCCCTCCACCTGCCATTGGTCCTCTCTAAACTGAGACTGGGGAGTGGCTAATCACCACTGGGGTGTAGACAGGTTGCTCCTGCTATCGGAAGGCAGTGATGCCTGTAACTTGGAGCGGGCCTGAGATACGATTAGCTGCTTAGTTTGCATATATGTATTTTAACTCTTGTCACCTTTCTTTGTTAACTTGTGCTATCTCAATATGTTCTCCTAAAATTAGAAAAAATGTATAAAGATAAAAGGTTTATTTTTAATATTAAGATCTTCCCCCAAAGTACTTTTATGGCACCATAACAAAGGACACTGCACCGCACAGTTGGGCCTCCGTCTGTGTGACACCAATCCGGGGACTATTTGAATCTGCCAGCACTTCATGTTTCCTTTGCAGTCCTTCGTACACAGTTGGTAAAACTGTTTGGCGTGTGCCTGCTGGTCTGACTGCACTCTTGACTAGACTTTAGGTTGAATCCACAGCACTTAGCACAGTGGCCAAAATATTGATGGTCCTTATAGACATTTGTGTATGAAGGTTCCAATGGAAGGAAAAAGTGTGAAAAGTCTGGCAGCATTCAAATAAGAACCAAGAACCGATTCAAACAGCCTATCCACAGGATTTCAATGAGAAAGGTGTGAAGCAAATGTGGATGCAATCAGCAAGACTGCAGGCTGAAAGGGCTAGGCTCATTGCTAGCATCTCACAGCTCCACACCCAAGGCCTGCTCACTAGCCAAATTGTTACCAGAGCCAGGATCTGGGTGTCTGAATATAGAAAAAGGACAGGAGGAGAAACAAGGCTCAGTAGATAAAGAGCACATGTGTTATCGCTCTCGCCACTAACCAGGCTCAACACACCTCTTCTTGACTGTAGGCATTAGCCATGGGCTAAGGATGCAGCTCAGTGGTAGAGAACTTGCCTACCATGTATAAGGCCCTGGGTTCCTTCCCTAGGACTGAAGAAAACCAAAACAAAAAAATTAATAAGACTACAAGGAAACCTCTAGATAAAGGTCTTTACCATAGGCTCCCCTCACCATGCCCCCAGCAATGGACAAACGATGGCCCTTCAAGGAAGACCAGGTAACTTTTCCAGGTCACCAAGGAGCATCTAATGCTGCTTGAGTGCTGTAAAAATTACATCCTACTGTTCTGAAACTGTTGTGGAGGCAAAAAAAAGGGAATGTAAATTGCTAAAAAACTACAGCAAGACATTCTTATGGTGCCACAAATGTTTTCATTGCATATACTTTAATTAAGCCTAAAAGTACATTTCCCTCAAGCCTTTTAGGCAGATTTACATTTTCACAGTCTTTACCATATGTTTGGTGATATGTATATGTGCATGTGTATGGACAAATGTTTATTTTTATTTTAGAATGTTTTGTAACAAAACAATGTTGGTCCACAGTACACTGTCAAAGCAACAGCAGGCTTATTATTTTGCCTCTTTCAGTCCTGCTGTTAGATGGGCTTTATTAGGGACATTATTAAGAACAATTGCAAGCACACATTGAAGTGGTATCTCAGACAGAGCAGTTAAATATTCCTGAATTGCATATATTTGCAGTGATTGGATAGTGAAAATGACATGTGGTCCTTCATGATGCCCTCCTTTGGTCCCCCTTCCCGAATTACCAACTCATTAAAAAAAGTGGCTATTGCGCAATATAGAGCAAGAGTGTAACAACTTTCACTTTAGCAAACAGCTTCTCTAGCACCAGAGCCAAAAGTTTGCTTGTAAGATTTTAAACAAAAAAATTTAGAAGACTAAGGAATGTAAAATATTTAGTAAAAGTGAATATACAATTTCAAGTGTAATTGTATTAGAAACAGAAAATGGGGTCAAGGATTATTTGATTTTCTTACATTTAAGTAGAAAGTGGGATTTTGATGAGCTCTTCCTACAGACTTCCTGGATGGAGACAATCTGACCAGTAAGCTAGAAGCCAGTACCCACCCTCAGTCATTCTTTGTAATTCTGAGATTAGCAAGGAGACAATTTACACATGGTCTGTTTGTAGTGTCTTTTTTTTTTTTTTTTTTTAGTTGTAGACAGAAACAATACCTTTTATTTATTTATTTCTATGTGGTGCTGAGGATGGAACCCAGGGCCACACATTTGCTAGGCAGTGCTCTGCCACTGAGCCACAAACCCAGCTTTGCAGCCTGCTTTTAGTAAATTATTATTCTTAATTATTATCTGAAGTTTTAAAGGTTATTATTTTCTACCTCTGAAATTTTTCCTCTGAGCCAATGTGCGAGTGTGTTTGGAACGTTATTTGAATTTTACCTCTTCATTTAAAAGCATTACTGATCCAAAATGCCGTTTCCTGTATAAAGAGAGGAAAGAAGGAAGAAAGAAAGAAAGAAAGGGGGAGAGAGAGGGAGGGAGGGAGGAAGGAAAAATAACCAGGGTGGATTATGGGAAAAAAAACCCACACAATGTTGCTGCCTTCTGAGACTCAAAGCAAATAACAGAGACACCAAAACTAAGGAGTCAACTCTCCCTGTTCTTCAGCCCTGCTTCACACATCCTGGAAGCATTGCATGTCTCATCTCAGGTTGCAATGGAAACACATCTCCAGGGAAGGCAAGAACAGAGTGCCCTTTCTTCCTCTGAAAAGGAAAACGCTGGTTGTACCAGAGCTCCGTGTGAATTTCACAAACATTTACTAGAAAGACCAACTCTTCAACCCGTCAAGCTCTATCTATTTAACCCAGTGAGCGGATAATCAATAGCAGACTCCTTCTGGGTTTTGACTAGATTGCCAGATTCCTCATAGCCAGAGTGGTCTTCCCTCTGACTCACTTTTCCTGGGCTGTGCTCTTCAATTCTTGCCTTACAAAATTAGCCTGTTAATTAAGCCTTCTTGGCAACTAATTACTTGTTAAAGATTTTTCAAAAAGATCTTTTGATTCCCTATATGAATGTAAAACAAAGGTTACTACAGCACATTACTCTCTTTTTTTTTAATGACACAGAATTAATTTCTTTAGTAGGCCCAACTCTAAGTACATTAAGGCTAAAAGAATTCCCTGATACATACAATACCATTTGTTATTTATATATCATATGGAAATCACACGTATTTCAAGATTATCAGCAGTCTTGTGCAGAACACCATTTTTCAACCTCAACTGATTGCAATATAGGTACACATTATTAATCTAAAAATTCACATGCACTAACATTTCTGTAAGTTTGTTGTTAATTCAGACATATGATTTGAAAATGAAGCAGGGCTGATGTTATGCCACACCATACCCAGGTTGTATATTTATTTAGGTAGGCAGTTTTGAAATGTTTCAGATGGAACAGCCCAGGACAGACTTAGCTGGGCCAAATGTATCACTTAGTCCATAGCTGCCATCAGTTCCCATGTAAATGGAGAAACAGCTTGTTTGGAGAATGCCCCCTGAGTTCAGGCCCAGCATGTTTTGTGCGGGGGCACTTCACCAAACAGCTGTTACCAGAAACCAACTTTTACAATGCACATAAACAGTACTCATTTTATTACAAATGCAATCATTTATAAAGAAAACCTTTTCACGGATCAATAATAAAGAAAAAGTCTTATAAAACAAACCAACAAGCAAGCATTAACGTAGAATTAATTAATTATCCAAAAACCCCAAAAAACAAAAATAACAAACAACCAGAGCCACTTACAGGGCTTGATGGAGTCTTTGGCCAGCCTGGGCTGCTAATGCTATCGCTCTCATCTCCATGAAAGGAGGAGATGCTAGCAGAGCTGGGGGACATTGGGGAAGGGACTGGCAGGTTGCCGGGGGTTGGGGGCTGAGAAATACCCTGAGAGCTGTAGCTATCCTGTGGTAGAGGAATAAAAAAAAAAAAAAAATGACAAAGGTAGGGCAAACTTTATTTAAAATAACAAAAAGCACATCCAGTTTAACAGACTAATTTTTATATATATGAGATATATATATATATAATATATATTATATATATATTTAAAGACATATACAAACACACACACAAACACATGTATAAGGTATTAAACAACATTCTTAATTAGTATGATTTGGTAAGTTTGCTGGATGCTGGATAAGGCCACAAAGCCACCATGCTTACTTCAAGCTTACATGGAATGCTAAGCATGGGTTACCCCTTATGAAAGAAAGAAAGAAAAAAAAAAAAAAGCTGTTCACCTTATTTATCAAATAAGGCAGGAAAGCAAAATATTAAGTATGTTGTTGTTGCTGGGCGGCCAAAACAGGAAGCTACAAACTGAAGGCAGAGAAAATGGCTGCAAGGATCAAAACCAGGCAAGATCCCTCACTTCTCCCCACCCCCAAAGCATTTCTCAGGTGGGTCTTGTCCCCACCCCCTCCCCCAACATGAGTTAATGCCGTAAGAACTAGTAACTTTCAGATCCACACCATGGAGGGGGTGGGGAAAGAAAAGACTAGAACATGTTGCACAAAATGAAGGCATGCAGGAGAGAAGAGACCAAGAGAACAAAAAGGGTAGCCAGCACCAGGGCAGAGTAGCAGCATGGCAGCTTTGGCCAGGCAGCGCCCACACCGCGTGCAGGGGAGGAAGTACCTTCGACTTGCTCTCGGGCTGTGGAGTGCCTTCTTCTTTGCCATCTGCTTTGAGAGGCACGGGCAGTTTGGATTCACCGGGAGACATCATATCTGCAAGACCCATAGATGCTAATCGAAAACAGGAGAAAGAGTCAGGATTATACATGTGATTTGTCCGACTGTGCTGCCAGCACTGTTACTGAGTAAGGCATGGGACACCTGAATTTCCCTTGAAGGAAGAAAAGAAGAGAGAAATGGTAACCGGGAGCATTCTTATTTCTGAAATGTGAAATAGCACCACATTTTGGCAATCCTTCTTGTAAAAAAAAAAAAAAAGGAAAGTGACAACCATTCTGTATGTTGAAGACCTACCCCACCGAAGGCCAACTTATTATCAACATTATTTAGTTATAACAGAGTAGGCCACAAATGGAAATAAGCAACTGTTTACATGCTCATCAGGGGTTGGAAGAAAACACTAGGTATGTATATCCATCCATTACCTGGGTGCCAGAGGGCTTAGTGACTTCTGATATCCTCAATTCAAATAATCTACAGTTTGTGAAATTATTTGAAACTTCTTATTGCTTCATTCAAATTTTTTATTTATTGCAAACGGTCTAGTCTATAATAAGGGAAGATGATTAGCCAAATGACTTCAAAAACAATAATTGGAAAAGACTTTTTGCAGGGAACGCTGTGCATTTCTTTGCAAGGTGCTGGGGTGTCTCTGCAGCCTGGCACACTACTTCCAGTCCTCAGCCAGCTCAGATCACCACTGCAGGGGGAAAGCCACCCACGCAATGGGCTCCTTCTAGGCACCACAGCTTCACTAGAGAACACTTAATTTACACACATTTGTCACAGATACTAACGGACATTTTCAGGTTGAAACGATGGGTTTCGATTTCTTTCTAAAGGAAGAACAAGGATTCAGCAGGGAATTGGTATAACTATCCAGGGAATCACAGCTGAATTTCCAGAGAACCCCGCTGTGAAAACCATCTGTACAACCCTGACTGGAGGGGCTTCGAGTGAGACATCAAACAGATGTGTGGAGAGGACAGTGAGGCGGGGAGGCGAGGGGGTGGGAGAGGGCATGAGCCTTATAAAGGAGGGGAAACCAGAAAACGCTCCCTGTCAGCATCACAGGAACCCGAGGTCTGATGCGCAGGACCCGGTTCACATGCTGCAAAGGCGAGAGTGCTGGCTCAGCCAGGCTGTACACACGGGGCACCATGTGCCAAGGGTGGGGGTGGCAGCTTTAAAAAAGACTCCACAGATTGCCCACTACAAAATGATTATTGCACATATTCATGTATTACTATGTTTTAGAAAATAATTAGTTTTAATTATAGCAGTGAGAGAGTGAGCAGGCTCTGGTGAATTAGCTGGCAAGCTCCGTGGTGCTAATTTGCTAATATCGTTAGCATCGCTGCAGGTTGAGACCATAGGTCCTGCCAAAAAAAGCCTACAGTGCCACGTGCCCATGAGTTTACATCAGCACACTCAATAATGCACTCTGAAATCCTGTATTTTCCACCATGGATACACTGGCTGGTTTTTCAAAGCCCATTCGCAGCCCAGTCAGCCCTTAAAGTCATCACAACACACACAAATCATAATTGGGATGTTTTTCCTTTTTTTTTTTCAAATTACTTTCAATACTTAGACTTTAAGAACTAGAACAAAAAGCTTTTTCAAGTGATGCAGCTGCAGAGAAAAATCTATTGGGATCAGCTAAAAATGCTGTTATTTTTGTGAATGTGTGAAACCTCAAAAAAGCAGCTGAGAGATGTTACACCAGGAAGACAGCCTTGTTCAAAGCGCTGGACTGATTTCGTGCAGTTTTATCTCTGGGGTCTAACAAAGTAAGAACCTGTACATTGAAAAACACTTCTTCCAGAAGAACAGAAGGGTCAAAAACCGGCACAAGGTGAGGAGAGGGCCCTGTGCACCACAGCTGCACAGCCCTGCTCTGTCTCTCATGAGGGTAGCAAGAACACAGCACCCGGCTCCAGAGAATGCCAGGAGGCCGTGGCACGTGGCTTCTGCTAAGGCCTGCTTCTCCACTGGTGACAGCTTACTCACAGTTGACACTATTTCTAAGTCATGTCTGCATATTATTTTGAAAATAGGAATAGTAATATCATATTTTATGCATTAAAGGTGTTAAAGTACACATAAGCAATTTCGAATCAAAAAGAACTGGGCTAATATGTATTATGATAATTAGTGATAATTACTGACTTAAAAACCAGACTTACATGACTATAAGCATATGTTGGTTTGAAACTCCTCAAGTTTCTTCATTCTCTATTATACATTTTAAAATGGGCATTTTGAATGTGCAAGTAAGATATCTGTCAAAAATTTCATTGTTCTATAATTCTGAAAGATGAATAAGGATAGAATTTAGAGTTCTAATTTTACTTAGTACTCCTGCCTCACAATGTAAATTTTATTTTACTAAGTGGATCACAAGGCATTTCCTTATGGCTTTTACTCGTCTTTTTGTTGAAATGCTTATTTTGACTTCTTACCAGAATTCTCAATGAATCATGGCGATGAGCCATATGCTTCCCCAGGCAATGTACACCAGGGGCACTATTTTTTTTCCTTTCCCAGAAAAGAAAGACCACCACTGTTCTAAGGATGTGTCAAATCAGGGTACTGTTCTCTCTCCACTGACATCAGTAATCCAGCATGTGACATTCAGATGCAATGAGGGGCTGCAAGGGACCGGCCGCTGCAGAAGGCGCTGCCTGAGCGTTATTAAGTACGTTCAAGCACTAGCCTCTGGCTCTACCTTTGAAATTTAACAGCTAGAATGATTTCTTAAAGCAAGCATGGTCAAGGTCCTCAGGTAGCTATTCTGCCCTGGATTTTATGCATTCAAAAGGACATAAAGAACATGTGACACAAGTAAAACTGAACTAAACACTCATTCCTGCCTCCTCCTGTCATCCTTTACCTTCTCTCCCTGCAGGCTTCTGAGTCACCCCCAGAAGATGTAAGTCAGGATCAGAAACACACACAGCTCTTTTCTTTTCATGGTAATATACCATACGCCACAAAATATTTTATTTCTTGTTTTTGATAGCACAAAGGGCCTATCTATGTGTATACATCTGTTCATGACTATTTTAATATGTGGCAAACTATAAAGCATACTGTTACCATAACTTAGAAGAGGTATGAACAAAGCTCGGGGGAAGCCTTTCCTTCTCACTGGATTGGCAAAGCCCAGAGAGAATCCCTCAAACATCCCGATATGAGGCCTTCCTTGGGGGTTGCCAGAGAGAACGTGCAGGCTGGGCACAAAGCCATAATTTGCATGAGTGCCTCCTCCCCATGCAGCAGCCCCAGCAAGCCTGACGTGCACGGCTGCTCCAGGAGAACAGCAAACCTCTCCTCACAACCATACTGATGCTCCAAGAAAGCCCTGCCCCTGCAGCCTGGCACATCAGCAGACACTTCCCCCCAGTTTAAGAGGTCTGATTTTGATAGCTTATCACATCCTTTTTCTGGGGAAGCAGCAATTTGTCTAAAACCATCAACTTAAAGCAAGCAAGCAAGCAAACAAAATGCCTTTAAACTACTTAGATAATCAACCACCAGTAAGGGTGCAAAGGACCCAAAGCTTCCTCTATGGAAGACTGTCAGATCCCAAGAAGATAGCTGTCCAGCTGTGAGATCCCACTCTAGGCAGCTTTGCTAATGGTACACAAAGCTGGCAGCTTTTCTACAGGTGATTGCTGGGCAAAATACCTCCAAATAATCAATTCTCAAACTTTAGCATGCATACATGAAAATTGTCTGAGGAGTTTGTTAAGAATGAAGATTCCTGGACCCACCCCCAGAAATTCTGATGGGAGCTCAGGAATCTGTGGTTTTAACAGCATTCTAAAGGATCTTTAAAGTAGGTGGTTCATAAATTTGGGTAGTGTGATTGACATTTTCCCCTGTAAAGGGCTATCAGAGCTGATATGCCTTTCACTGGCAGGACAGTGATGATGCTCTGCCTCTGGGATCGACCAAAGCTCAGCTGGCAGAAAGACTCACCACTGGAATTTGAGCAGGGCTCTGCAAGGGGAAGGCTCGGCGCAGTGCTTCATGGCTGCTCATCAACTATCTATAGGATCTAATGTAACTGTGCCCATAATACGTAGTTCCAATCTTTAAGTCTAGGTTAGAACAGAAGCAGGAAAGACCCTGAAGAGGGAAGTCCCGACTCTCCATCCAGCTTCCCAGGTATTCCACACGAAGAAACAGTTGTCACATTTACACCTACACTGGCTCCATTTAAATAATCACTTGTTCACTGAAGCCTGTAATAGTCTGTCACTACACGGGAGGATTTTTTGGCCCTGTACACTGCTATAGCACAACTGTTTGAACTCAGTGAAGAGAATGCTGGAATGTCAGTTGCTCTGGCTGCAAACCGAGGTCAGGAAATCTACCACCAGCCCTGGCTGGCTTCTGAACTATCTTCACCTTCTCCCAAAGTGCACTCTGATGAAGAAGGGCTTAGTTGTCATCACTGACCTCCTCTCAGTGTGCCTAAACCAACGAGAGACAGGTACCACAAAGGGCCGCTTTGACCCATCTGTAGTCAAGTGCACCGCGTCAGCCCCAGCCCCAGCCCCAGCCCCAGCCCCAGCAGGAGCTATGCCGCTGTGTAACCCTGAGCTGCGGGCTTCCCAGGGCTGACTCGGTTCCGTAGGTTTACTGGACCCGTTAACATACATGCGGCACAAGCTCAATGGCCAAGACTCCTCGGATGTGCTGAATAATTACTTTATATCATTATGGCATTTGACTTATTCAGCAAAGGATGAAATAAAATTATATAAATGTGCAGACTGAAATTTGATAAATGTCTAAATTATTAAAAATTCAATGTCAAAATGCACAATTCAATAAAAATACACTGCTACCCATACAAAAGACTGTGAGGATAAATGGCCATTCACTGAACAGATTTTCTCTGTATGAAATAACAAATAGCAAATTATCTTAATACTAATAATAGAAAGATACCCTCTCTATGAATTCCCATTAAACTGGTTGCTTTTCAGAGATACACACTTTGTGGGCAGAGCACTGCAGATCTGTTGTAGTTGGGTAGTTTTGTGGCTCTGAGGTCTAAAGAAAAAAGGGGAAAATGAATATTGCTAATAATAGGTGAAAATTTGTGTAATTTAATGTTCTTCAAGAATTTTAATTCAGGAAGTTAGAGAAAACACAAGACTGTCAGAACCCAGGTCCTCTGGCACCAGGGAAAGTGCTGGTGGGGGAAGGGAGGCTACCTGCTGCTGGCCTTTGGTCTCTAGTACAACACCACCTTCCTGAAATGAAATATGACCCATGTGACATCAGGAAGGCTACTTTATTATTTAAAAACCTCCACTTTTACCCATAGTTTCTGTTTTCTTCTCTCACAAGCCTCGAAAGGGAAGTAATTGGGTAATATCAGTATTAAATGAGACTAGAAATCGGTGACTTAGAAGTTCAGTCAGGGAGTGTGTGGCCCTTGAGATGGACAAGACAGGACTGTGGCAGAAGGCAGCACAAATGGAAAAAGGTAAACAAGGGAGCCAGGGATCTGGCTACAGTGTTTTCTTGACATGTCATAAGGTGGTGGAGGACACAGAGCTCCTAAGTCAAGATCTGCCTTAACTGAAGGAGCAAGTCCTGCTGCAAGGGTCTCTATCAGTCAACTCAATTCAGAGCAAGTCATCATTTGGAAAGTAGCACTTGTTGCCTGGGATGTCCAGGAACCCAAAGGCCTCAGATTCTGGGAAATGGGAGATACATGGTTTGAGCCCATTGGTGATGTTTCCCACAAACTGACAGAATACTGAATGCACTAATCAGACATGATTTTGTAAGAATGCAACTGTTGAGACTACAAAGTGGGCTGAAAGAGCTAAACGTAATTAGACATTTATGGCAATTTCTCAATGGAGGTGACCTGCAAATAGCACTTATGAAGCAGCTGCTTCCAAGTACACATTTAGAGGGGTTTCCCCAAGTGCAAAGGTGCTTCAAACTCTCCCTGCTCTGCCCTGCAGCCATTTCCCCTGAATATGAATTCTCAAAATTTATCTCTGCCACTGTCAAATGCAAAGATCTTACTTTGGGATCTACCAATACTCTTTAACAATTCTCAAAGACAGAACTTAGTGTCTGCACTTAGCAATCACCAATGATAGCCGAATATGTCCACATATTATACAAGCACAGAATGAAAACAGTAATTTATACAGAATATGATGTAACCCTTAAGTCTCAAACAGACTGAGCCAGTTTCCCAGAAGTTGAAAAGTAGTACTATTTCCATTTTCACCAGTGGATCCATCTTCTCAAGCTGGTTGGGCAACTTCACTTGGGAAGCCTAGGAGAGGGTAGGACAGGGTATCCCTTGGGAGCCAGAGCTGCCAGGTTACCTGTGGCGCTGTTCACCATGGTGGGCGTCATGCTGTAAGGCGGTGCCTGTGTGTTCATCAGGCCAGAGCTGTTGTTCATGGGTTGGCTGTAGGGAGAGCTGGAAGCCACAAGTCCACTCTGGTTCATGCCAGGAAAGCTGCCTTGCCTATATGAAAAGAAAGCACAGGTACACATAGACTGACGGCGCACGGCACGGCACGGCACGGCACGGCAGAGTAGACGGTCCTGGTGTCAACTCTAATAGAGCACTCAGGTGAGGGGCGGGGCTGAGTTTTCATGTTGGCTAAAACCAGACTGTTTCCTGGAGAAAGAGACTGAACTCTTCTACTAGGCAACTGTCCAGTACAGTGTTTAAAAATTCCAAATATCATAAGTTATACAAATAAGCTACAAATTCATAATTACGACACCTACTCAGAATTATTCATGTTGAGGAATGTTAGCAAGAGTAGGGAACTTGAAATAAGAACAGGAATTACAAAAGCAAGCAAAATTAATGTCTAATGTTTAATAAGATCTGACTATTAGCACTGCTTAGTATCCTTACATCAAGACCACAAGAGGTTAAAAAAAAAAAATTGGCAGTGTGGGGATATTAAAAAAGTAATTCTTTGCCCTAAATTTTCTGATATAAAAAAATGAGAGAAAGTGCTGCTAACTCTCTCCTCAACCCTTAACTTTTTGAAGTCAGGGTGTATTAAAAACACACTGATTTCTCTATACCAAAATTAGGTAGCAGACACACACCTCCACTGCTTTTTTTTAAAAAATATATATTTTTAGTTGTAGTTGGAAACAATACCTCTATTTATTTTTGTGCGGTGCTGAGGATCGAACCCAGTGCATTGCACATGCCAGGCGAGCGCTCTACAGCTGAGCCACAACCCCAGGCCTCTCCACTGCTTTTTGGCAGGGCTTCTTCACCACAGGAGAGGACAGGTACTTAGATTAGCTCAAGTTTCCCAAATCTGCACAGCCCCTTGCCCCAAATGCTGCTGACATCATCTCTTGCTGACTTTGTTTTACTAGATTTGCCCAATGCTTGGTAAGACACAACTTCTCTTCACCCTTAAAAGAGAAGGGTCCTCTATCCAGAAGAGAAAACTGTCTCACAATGTCACTTCTCTGACGGCTGGTAATGAGAGAAGAGATTTAAACGGCAAAGTGGTCAGTTCTCCTAGGGGAAATTCCAAAGCAACAAGAAAGATGGCGGCAAAGGCCTTAGAAGTTCTATTTCATCCTTGTAGTCAAAGCTTTTCTTATGTAAAATCTTTAAGAAACTTTTAAAGTTTGGGGGAGTGATGCTACTCTTAGTAGTAAAGCTAAGAAGAGGGATAAAATATGCTTTTCTTATTTGTTCCAAACTAATTATGATTATACAATCCCATTTACCGACATTAAACTATCACTTGGTGGCTCTAGATGTAAAAAAGCCAACATTTTTATGAGACCTTTAAAGAGATTAACATAAATCATTTTTTAAAATCTATACCAATGATTTTTCTGTGTTATGTTTCCAATGGACTTAACTTTCTTGCTTGTAGGAAAAATTTAAACATGGACTATTTGAAAAATCAAAGTAATAAAGATTTAAGTTTCTTTCTCTTTCTTCTTCTTCTTCTTTTTTTTTTTTTAAATAACAAACCATTCAGGGAATTTTCTGTACCAATACTCAATGATAACTTGGCAAGAACCTTCTTAGACAAATGGAGTGGGCATGGCTTGGGGTGTTACTTTGACCTTTGGTCCTCAGCTCACTGAGGGTTCACTGCTGAGGGGCATGACAGCACCTATCCCACAGGATCTGAGACCGCTCAATGGCTTTCAGTTAGCCTCTGAACCCTCAGGCGCCTGCTCCTGAACTACTACTGCACTGCAGCTTAAACATGTGCCTCCATGGTGCAGGCCTCACTTCCTCTTGTGGATGGCCGGCATCAACTTAAGCATCCTGATTTCCTTCTGGGTGTCCTTACCCCATAAGCCGGTCCAGGGCCAGTTTTCGGAAGTGGCTCCTGTTGGAGCTGCTTTGTTTCTTAGATGAACCTGTGAAGAGCACCCTGAGCTTCTGAACAGCTTTTTCTGGAAGATTATTTCCAAGTCAGTAACTGCTTCAACTCGCTGCTGGCCTCCCTGTCTCTAGGATGTGTTCTGGTGGCGGCTTCCTGCGAGGGCCACCCTTGCGCCCCCTGGAAGGGAGAGCCCTGCTGGCTGGCTGTGAGCTGCACCTGTGCACAGCTCCAAGCCTCTCTTGGCTGTGTTCAGGTCACCTCTGCTCATGTGGGCTCTTCTAGGGGTGCACTGAGAAGAGGATCAGGCCTACTTAACCCCTGCATGTGAAAAAGTCCTGGTAAGTGAAATGAATCGGGAGAGAACGCGTTCATCACTGTAGAAAGGCATTCTAAAGTACAGTCCACAGTCACCTTTTCTAGCTTCCACTATTTCATTTCATGTGTAGACAGCTAACATGGACGGCACTAATGCCTCCTTGAGACATTTGTTTGTGCTAAAGTGGAAAAGAGAACCAGAATATGCAATCCATCAGGAAGATGACTAAATTAGCAGCCATCTAACCCTGATCTGTGGCTTCTCCCCCACATCTGCACAGCCCATCTTCAATCACTATGAGATGACAAAGGCACATAATAGTTTTACAGTAACAACACAATGACAAAAAAAAATCAAAGATTGAAAGGTCCACATGTTGGATGTCAACTGCTTGTTATGTGGTCCTCAAGTAAACTGCAGCTGCTGTTTTAAAAGTCTGGTTAAAAAGCCAGGGATCTTATTTGGGTGGGCTGTGACAATTATTAGGAACTCAAAGCCTCAAATGTGAGTTAGGGGCTGAGTCACCTCATGGGTCCCTGTCCAGGACAGCACTGACTGCTGTATCCCTTTGGATCATAGCAACCCCTGGAAGCTCCATGTGGAGTTAGGAAAATCTTGAGGTAAATCCCCACTTTCTTCAAAAGAAAATTAGGAACAACAAACCACAAACAGGCAAAAATTCAAGGTGAAATGAAGGGATACATCTAGTGTGAAACCTGCCCAAATGTCAGATGAATCCAAAAGAGCAAAGTGTCCCATCTGGGACTCCGGGGCTATAACTACTGGGCTGTTGCTTCTTGTGGGCCCAAAGGCTTGGGCTGTTTTGTCCCCAGTCACTGTTTTCCACAGTCTGCAGATCTGAAACCCAAGGTCAGGGCCGTGAGCATCTAACATCATCTCAGAGGTCTCTTCTAAGTTGATGCTCACTCTGAATGGGCTTGGTGTAGCTGTTAGGTGACCAGACTGCACACTGTGAAGACAAAGAGTCAGGGGCTGCTGACCACACTGCCCGGCCCTGCCTGGCCTGCTCTGTCCACCACACGTCTCCCTCATCTTTTCAATAGCAAACAAGATTTGTGCACAAACATGGTGACCAGAACTCGGTCCTAGGGTTGAGCCCAGGTGTGTGCGAGGCCTGTCACTCTATGGTAGAACCCGGCTCCTATTGCGCGTGCACCCCTGGCAGCGCTTGTGCTCCTGCTTCTCATTCCACGCATGCCCACAAGTGCTGTTTTGTAGATTTTCCCTTTCTTGACTTTGGAGATTTCTTTAAAAATGCACATTCACCTGCCAAAAAAGGGCTGGCTTTGGGGGAAAATATGGAAGCCAACGCCAATTTTAAAGTGGCATTTCCGGCAGATCAGGGTAAAGGCAGAAAGGGGAGCACAGGTCGCAGTGCAGTTTGAATTCTGTAGGATTCATGCGTGTGCAATCCTGAGAGTGCCACATGCTTCTGAAGATCTGACTCTTACCTCAAATATGATAGAGTTTAAAATAAATCAAGTCTATATATATATGATTTTGGAGCTTTAAAGAAAACAAGACCTGCTGAGGGCAGTGGAGAGTGCCTCAGTGGCTTGGGAGGCTGAGGCAGAAGGATTGCGAGTTCAAAGCCAGCCTCAGCAAAAGCGAGGTGCTAAGGGATGTGGCTCAGTGGCCGAGTGCCCCTGAGTTCAATTCCCAGTAACCCCCTGACAAAAAAAAAAAAGAAATCAAGACCTTACCATTTTAGCAATTAACAAAATTTTTTTCTCAACAGTACAGATGAAAGTGTGAGAGTACATCTTGAAAATGAACCAACTTCTGACACAGCTCTTTGAAGAAGGGCAGGGCACACAGAATAGGTGCCCTGGACAGCCTACACAGCGGAGCCCCCTGGAGCACTCCAGCACACCCACGGCAGACATCATTTGAGTCACACTTAGAATGAACATAAAGCAACGCATGCTCAGTGGGAAAGCTGAGCGTGATTGCCACGCACACCTGCCTCCATCCAGGACTGCCAGTGCAGCGTGGGCGGAGTCATGAAGCCAGCAAGGACCGCTTACTGACAAAATACGCCAGACCAGCACTGAAATTCGAGGGCACTTTGTTACTTAGACCCAACTGTTGGAACCAGAAGTTGAAACCTGTGAGACCCCAATTCCAGCAGAATCTTTTTCTACTTGCTACTCTGTTTCCCTGGAGAGCTACGGCTATAAGAACAGAACATCCTATTGGAAATGTTTTATGACCACAGATGTTCTTACACTATATCCAGTATCGCTGGAGAGAGATTTCTGATGGAATTACATGGTGACTCTTCCAAAGCAGCATTGAGGAGAAATCCAGCTCAGCTTATTTTAAATCTAATATCCAAAGCGAAAACCACTGTGTGTACCCCAAAAAGCACAATCAAAGCACGAAGCTCGAGTGGCTTTGTGGTGGGGCTGACCCACGAACGTGCCTGCAGCCACTGCTGTCAACAATGCTGGTGGCAAAGCCATGTTGCCATTTCAACAGGCCAGTGGCTCTGGCTTGACAGCATCCCTGGGAAGGCAAAGCAGCATTTGTATTGTTGAACAAAGACAAACAGCAAACTCAAGAGCAGTGACATAGAAACTGGATTCCTGCAAAAATATACAGCCACGTGCTATTTAAAAACAAAAACCAAACAAACAAAACCAGCTACTCCATTTTGCTCAGGGAAACATACTAGAAATACAAATTTCAGTCAGAAATACCTTCTGCTCAGGAGTCACAACTTGTGTCCTGGATGGGGTGGGTGCGAAGCAACACAACAGTGCACCAAACACACAAGAAAACAAACAAATGGAGCAG